GTTGGAAGTTACAACGGTGGCGGTGAAACCCATCGGAGTTTGAATCGGATTCCATCATTGTTTGGGAAAGAGATGGAAGGTTCCAAGAGCAACGTGAGGCTTTGCCACGGTATTCACCCATCAGATCGGGCTTTGCCAAGAGATGGAAGGTGCCAAGCCCACATCAGATCGGGCTCTAGATTCCAGTTTGAAGGTCGTTGGATGATCCGCCATCAAATTAGGCTCCCATTTCTTTGCCCACATCAGATCATGCTCCATATTTTAGTTTGAGCCCTGTCTTTGTGCAAACGGAGGAGGAGGTGGTTCCTACCGAGGCTCCATCCATGCACAGGCGGGGGCCTTGTCTTTGCTTGAGGTTTTTCCACCTGTCTTCGTCGGAGAGCAGGACGACCTCAGCTGGAGGAGAACTAACATTTGGTGAAGGAGCCAGGATGAATCATGCCTTTCACTTATAGGGGCAACACGCCAGTGGTGAAATTTTTGAAGTTGAACAAGGCCATCATCATCATCCTGCAGTGGTGATACGCCAGCCGAAAGGTGGTCATCATCTGATTGCCATGGCCACCTCATTCAATTGGTAGCCTCGCTGTGTCTGGTATGTAGATGCCGGTGCCACCGGCGACAACTGTAAGCACCTCATCGACTGAACCAGAGATGCAGCGGCGAGGTGATATGGGGAGCTTGCAATCAAACAGGGACAGGGGAGAGAGAGAGAGAGAGAGAGAGAGAGAGAGAGAGAGAAAACGAAGGGGAGGAAGAGAGAAAGAGAGGGAGGGAGCCCTTCACCAGTGGCTGCCGTCGCCTGCTACGGCTATGCCAAGAGGGAGAGAGAACGAAGGGCTCGTCGCAAGCACATCTGCCGTTCTCTCTCCCTCTCGACATAGCCGTTGCAGGCGACGATAGCCACCGGCAAGGCTCAACCTATGCCACCCACTCCTTGGGCTCTTCTTCCTCCGTGAAAATAACTTATTCAGTTTGGCAGCCACCGACGAGGCTCAACGTGCTTCGAACAAGCGATGCACGTCAGCATTTTGGGTCTCACCAATTGTTATCAATCAGATCTTTGCCGTAAATAGGAAATCAACACAAATATCTTTGGAAGGGTGATTGAGAGCTTCAATGTTGGTGACGGTGCTCTATTTCCAAGATAATTACAGAGATCAACAAGGGGAAGAAGAGGAAGATAGAGGGATAGGTGGAGAGAGAGAGAAAGAGAGAGATGATAGGAGGTGAAGGATGGTCCAAGCAAGTTGTAACGATGAGGGGGAGGACAAGGGTCCTTGAATCCGTCTGTATAAACAAAAATCAAAGGAGAAAAAAAAGACATGTACGGTGTAGGTGAGATGGTGGCTAAATTGACAAGGCGGTCTCTTTAAAAGACAGAGAAAGACCGTGGGTAAAGGGGATTGAGTCTGAAATTAGGGCGCCAAGCCAAAGTTGGGAATCAATGATGAGGATGCTCGATGACTGAATGAATTTATTACGAGGAGGATCTCTATTTATGGGGGAGATCACGAGATCATAAAAGGAAGGAGCTAATAGGAAATGGAATATTGGATTTGCTATCAATCATTAAGGGCATTGTTGGGATTTCACTATGTGCTCCTATGGGGATATTTCTAAGGATTGGCTTTCCTATAACTCGAAGATCCTCATAACCCATGTGTGCTACTATCCTTTATGCGCCTTTATTAACTGACGTTGTGCTAATGACGTCACTGTCTGGCGGGCGACGTCTTACTAGACCTATGTTGCGCTCTGTCACTTTTGTTCCTTCGAAGCTACGCACGAATGTAACATCTGGGCTCAGTTCTTGGTGAACCGGGGTGCTGTATCGACTGAGAGTTTATTGTGGGGCTGAGTGCATGCGAACCTCATCGCAGGTTCAACCTGGGTTTGCTTTGGTTTGTGCTTAGGAATATGTTCATCGCAAGTGTGCGATGACCCGTGGGTTTATCGTAGTCCTGCGATGCGTTGTGTTCACCGCAGACTTGCGATGCTCTGAAGGTTCATCACAGAGGGAAGATTGGCTGCAGACTGATCGCAAGCRTCCATGTGGTATCAATGCGGTGTTTATTGTGCTCTGAGGGACTGAGCAAACACTATATACCTACACACGGAAGTTTRAAGATTCCAGTTTTCCCGAGGCATTGGAAATCTACGACAACATTCAAATCTGCTACGGTGAATGGGTGGGTATTGATTAGTATTGTGTGATCACCAAACTTTTGTAATTCGGGAGTTGCAAAAGAGAGGATGAAATTTGAAGAATAGTGGAAGGTAAATTTGACTTTTTGTTTCCTTCCATTAGCATTTAATGACAATGACAATTGTCAAAAAACTTAAGGGTATCGCAAGACAATAGCTAAACATTAAGGATACCGCATGTCAATTCCGTGAACAGTAGGGATAGTTTAAGAGATTTATCCAATAAAATAATATGGCTTGCTGATGTAGTACTACTCAAGTCAAAATAATTATTCTTTTTCTTCCCTTGCTCTCTCCTCTACCTTACCTCTAATGGAACCAAATAAACAATCTTCTTTCTTCTTAGGGTCAAAAGTGAGCACAAAACAAATATGTCTTCTTTCTTCTTAGAAAGAAGGTTACTTATGCATATATTAAGCTGTTGAAGGAAGCTCAAAAAAATTATCGTGCTTGGTAGTAGCTAGATCTTTGGTGAACTCAGCTGAGCGTCAAATGATGAAAGTGGAACCATTCTCATTCCATAAAATCACATCGCCAATGGAAGGATCACCCATGAGCTGGTATATAACAAAGGTGTTAGCAAAAACTTCTACCCATCACCAATAGTTGATTCGCCCATTTGTTCCTACGACGGTGGAGCCACAACCTACAAGGCTACAACATTCTTTGACCCTATACACAAATTTAAAAAATAAAAATCGAATAATCTAAGATCAAAGAAGGAACAAGGAACAATCATTGCTAACAACAATTAAGAAAAAATCTTACAAGCGAGGGGATTTGGGTGGGAAGATTTAGAAAAAAATTGGATGGGAAGCGGGCAAGGGGATTTTAGAGAGAGAGAGAGAGCTCTGGGGATGTCTTGGCATATTGTCGCCATTGTTGGTGGCGCTCAAAGGAGGGAGACGAGAATGAGGAATTTTGATTTGATGTGCAAGAGGATTTTTTTTTGGGTAAAAATTTCTTTATTATTTTGTTTTATCAAGGTTTTTAAAAACGAATCAGAAACAGTACCGGTCAGGGGGATTGGTTTCCGATTAAACGGTTTAACTGTTTGGGTCGAACGGTTTGACCCGTGATGTCATAAATAAATTAAAAATAAAAAATATATTTATAAATAATAAAAATAACATAAAATTAAATAAAAAAAGAAAATAAAACTAGATCATCCTATATCCATAAATTGAGAATTTGAGACTGAATTCAATTAGCTTTACTTGTAAATCCTCATCATCATCTCTAATTCCAAAGACTGCACGAAAAAGAACTAGAGGTAATCCAGTGCCAAGTGACAAAAGAAGGTGAATCACAACATGTGTGCGGATGAGCTCAACAGTGGTCACGATGACCAAGATTCCAATGCCAAGGACTAAGCGCTCAATTAAATCGGGGATACCCACTAGCAACAGAAAATCAGTCAAGCTTGTAATCATTCCAATGCTGCTACAAATGCTGCTGAATCGCCAATGGTGGTGTTACTGCCACTGCAAATCCCTGCTTGCCGCTGCAAATTTGCCGAACAGCCGCTGCAAATTCGTCACCCGTTGCTGCAAATTCGCCTACCACAACTATTACTGATGGAGCCTGGAAGTGCTACAAAATACGCTGACCACCGCTGCAAATTCGCCGTTAATCGCCATCGGCCTGTGTGTGTCACCGTCGGATGCCAAAGGTGCTGGCTGCCGTAGGTGGTCGGTTGGGTGTGAGGGCTGAGAGGAGGGAAGGGTTAGAACGAAAATGGGGGTCTAACCCTAAAGGGCCTAAACATTCGATTTGAGATGGGGATATTGAAATCATTTTATTTTTTTTTGTTTTTTGTTTATTTTATTTAAAGCAGTGAAAATAAAAAGGATAACCCACGAATTACTACCCGGGTCGAACGGTTTAACGGTCCGACCACCCGGGTCAACGGTTTTCTAACTTTTTCAACGTTTTTAAGAAAATTCCGGTTTATAGTATAACCAGACTTGGGGGCTGATCGGTTACTGGTTTTTCTGGTCTGACCATCCGATTTGGTCCGATTTTGAAAACCATGTGTTTTATTAATTACCAATTATTAAAAAATAATTATTTGTTTTTATTCTTGATAGCATGTGAATAGGTGAAAATTTTAAATGGGACCCATGTGTAATTTTTCAAAATTTTATTTATTTTTTTTTTTAATTTGAGCAATGCCATATTAGCGAGCTTTATTATTTATTTAATGGAAATATGGAATTATCGACAACATCTCTAAGGTTGTCTACTTTTAGCTTAAAATGTGGCATTTTTATCATAATTTCAGGGTGAAAGTGATCCTTTTGAATATTTAGGGCCAAAAATGGCCTTTTGGTAAAACTCAAGCAAAAAATTCAAATATATGGAACATTACTAGTTTTGCCTAAGCTTTTGACTGTTGGGCTATTATTATTRGGTAGATAAAGCCATACATTATTAAACAAAGGGAAAACAAGAAACAACACGGCGAAACTCAAAGTAAAAAAGAAACAAGAGAAGACCAAAAACAAACCAAACTAAAGCCTAAAGGGAAAACAAAATGAAACCAACCACAAGGTAAATCTGCCGAACTAAACAAGGAGATCGAGGAGGATGGATGCTCCTCAAATCAATAGTACCACACAAATCATTGACAAGAAGGTTCGATCTGATTCCTGAATCCAACTAGCTAGTTAGGAGCCTGATCTGATGCATCTTCTGTGGTTTGTTTTGAAGCCCTCCTCACAGTCACAGGAATCAATATTGGCCCTACTCTGATATTTTGGAATCAGTGAGTAGGGCTGGCAGGCTAGAAATTACAAGTGAAACGGATTTTCATATAATCATTATGAAGTACACGAAAGAGATGTAGAAGAATGGTCGGGGAGTGGGACTGAACGTAATTCAAAAACATCAATAATGACATATATATATATATATATATATATATTATACATATTACATGCATGTATTACAAAACTGGAGTGGAGTTGACAAGGGAAAATAATATCAGAGACGGGGATACCCACTAGCCACTACCCAGCCAGGATAAGACAGTGAAGTACCTAYATAAAATAGTTAAATGTCTATAGTTGGAAGTTAAATTGCTGTGGAGATTGTGGAGCCAGGCCGAGCCATGTCTTGCTTTCACTTGGTTTGGAGCTGCCGGAATTACTTTCAGTTTCAGATTTCCGCTCACCCGGGTTACTACTCACTTGGTAGGGTGCTTTCGTGTTAATCCTGGAATTTTTACAATAAAAAAGAAAAAGAAAACCATAAGATTAAAACCCAATACAATTCAATCTGATTCCAATCAGTGTTAATTGATTGGTTTCCGTGAACCCATATATATGATTTGTTCGTTGGAAGTACATAGATAATGTATTCACCTGTCTTTTCTCTTCTCCAAGAAACGGTGGAGGGAAGCTCTCCTTGCAATCGGCAGATCTGCAAATACAAACAATCATAAACAAAAGCTTTAGTTATTTGTTGCCAGAAGAAAAGAAAGGTTTGCAAATCGTAAGGAAACATATATAGTAGTAGTTAGCTCTTAATGCCTATGAAATTCTCAGTACGCAAAGCAAGAAATTTTAGGGAAACCAAAGGGGTACCTGAGCCATTCGGTTGAGGGGGCAACTGTACTCGGTCTTGGTTAGGATTCTTGGCCGAGATCGGAACGACATTTGAACAGGAAGAGGCAAAGCCTCCGGAGTTCGGTTGGTCGCCGCCGGAAGTAGAGGCCAAGCTGCTGGAATCGAGGGAGCTTGCCTTACTTGCAAAAAGCATGACCTCCTTTGCTTTCTCTGCCGGAAAATCATCGAACACAAGCACTTTTCCGGCATAAAATATCGTCATCTGGGCTTTCTCGTTCTCCTTTGCCGCCGGTCTGTTTCACCCAAAACGGATCGTGATTAACTAATTAAACGAAGAGAACTTCATTAAGCTTGAAGCTGCATGTTCTCTGTACGTATTTGTGAATCAAATGATACCTGAAATCGGGTGTCTTAGGTTGGTCTTCAGAAGAAGAATTCCCAAAACCGGCAAGTTGAGGAAACAAATTCATGGTTGTCGTCATCGATGCCTTCTGATTAAACATATTGGGTTTTCCTGAACCATAAGGGACCAACAAAATAGCCAAAAACATCAGATTCTTCTCTGCCTGGCTAAAAATGATGTAAGACATTCTCCATTCGGAGAAGATTAAAGAGAGGTATTCATTATAATTCTTTTAAGTTTTAACTTTTAAAACGGCCTCTACCGTCAAACATTTCAAGCTGAATGATCACAATGTTTCTTAAAAATAAAGATTATAAGGTCATGAAAAGAGGAGTTTCTTCTGAAGAAATTGACACCCTATCGAAAACAAATTCTGAATAAATCAACGGCAAGATCATAAAAAAAAAATCCAAACTTAAAGGGGAGGAAATTTAAAACACAACAGATCTAGTAACCAACGCGAACTACTACTGAATCGTAGAAAGAATAGAAGAGAGAAGGAAAATTATCGAAGGTAGTACCTTTGCCATCAAGAGAGGAACTAATTCCAAGGCCGAGATCAGCAAGGCCGCCTTTCTCCTTGATGTACTGGCTCAGAAGACTACACGTCTGCAAGAAGTTAGACCTCTCGGTCGTCTTCCGCGCCTGGTACCTCCCCACCGTCACGTCCGACGAATCCGGCGAACTTGCCATGTTGTCCGACTCCGACCACTCAAACAATACAATCGATCAGAAAATCCCTCAAAATCCAGTCTTCTCAATCAAGTCTTCCCACTTGTAAAAACGCAAATTCTAGATGCCTCGGTTCCCTAGCTATCTCGTCTCCGGACTCACCGGTTGATATTCCCACTTATAACAAGTCTAGTTTGACTCGAACACGTGTTCTTTGTTAAAATACGCACGAGCTAGTACTCAGTAGTATTTGTGTTTTTTAGTCTGTATATATGACTGACTACTAAATTTAGGTAAGCTAGCTGGACGCCGGACGCCGGACGGAGACGTAGAAAACGACATACAACATGCTGCTATATTTGGGGTCCCACATGCACCTTGATGGTGCTTTCCATACTATCCGATCATGATGGTGGATCTAATCTGGATTTTCGTTTTCTTAATGTGAAGTTGGGTGGAGCCATCAATTCATCAAATCATGATCGATAGATAATTCATACGTTGACGGTATCATAACGTGTCAAACAAGATCACCCACTGAAATTAACAGACGGTAACTAACGGCGTCAGAGAGAGAGAGAGAAAAAAAGAAGATGAAATTTTTAGGTGGCGAGCCAACTACCGACAAAGAAAGAAAGTAGAGAGGAGCCCCACACAGAGCCAATCACCCAAGTGAACTTAAGAGAAGAAAGACGAAAGGGTCAGGAGTGAAGAACACGTTTTCTGTGAATGCCAACGTGGCAAATAAGGACGAGAAGAGAGAGAAGCATTGAAAATTGGGAAACGCGCAAAGAAGAGACGTGGCAAGATAATATTGGGATACGGAAGGGATAAAGCGTTTTCCTCGTGATTGCATTGATCTTTCTTTGATGGGCGGCTTCGACTTTTCGTCGTTTGGTATGGTAGTATAGTGGTGGACCTGGTGGTCCATCCGTCATGACTCCATTGTCCATTCTGTTCTGTTAAGCCAAAACATTTTGAATTTCTTCTCTTTCAGTTTAATTCTTTTAAGGCCAAGCATTTATATTCAAATTGATGGTGCACATGTACATATATACTACGAAATGAAATGGTGTGAATTTAGGTTAAGAGGCTAAGCTTTTCTTTCGGGCACCGTCGACCACAAGAATCACGTGTTYACTGTTGTTGTGCTTTTTCCTTGCGAGTTGCGAGACAGAACAACTGATTCTCATCTGATCTAACCACTCTCACAAGTACATGTATTGTGAGTCATAATCAGAATGGTGGTGGGTTGACCCGAACAGAGAATGACCCAAAGGCCGAAGCCATTTGTTCGGGTTGGGAAGATCGTTCAGGGGATTGGGGGGTCGGGTCAGCGTGACTGCACGAGTTTAAGCATTGGGTTGGGCTTGGACTTGGGTCGACTAACAGTAAGTGACAAACCCCCCATAGTTGTGACCCTCTTATCTTAAGTCAAGAAACGCAACCAAACTATCCATCTATCTTTATTAACTAGAGTTGGTAGAACCAAGTTACCAAGCAAGTGGTTGCCTATCAAAATAAAATATAAAAAAATGAAAATGGTTATTATTAAATTTTTTATAATATTAGGAAAGATTAGGAAGAATGTCTGATAACGCGATTCCAACTAATGAAAAAATGGGTGCCAGGGTCCACCACCATGTAATTAATTAATTCGACAAGGGAAAAAAGGAAAAATATACTAATATTTCGCTCTCCACGTTTTATGCATTTTGACTCAATCAACTGTTAGAATAAGGCTAATTGTTTTTCTTCTTTTATTATCATTTTATATATTTATATCAATACATACGCACATTAATAATGCAACAAGACCATGTGAAAGTATATAATAATAATAATAATAATTAAATAGTTAATAAAATACATGAAATTGTTTGACAAGACGGTCGTTTGGTGGTTGTTGCCATTACATTGATTAATTAGGTTCCCTACTCCCTGCTCCCTACCCCCGCCATGATTCATCCAAACAGAAACCCTAACAATGCCTGGTTCACCCTGAACCGCAGAAGTGTGACCACTCCAATTCAAGCACATTTTTAACCACTGTTTTCAAAATCGGACCGGAAAAATCGAGAATCAGTCACCTAACCGGTTCCTTTTCCTCCAAAACTGTTTTTTCCCCCAAAACCGTTTATTTTGGTTAGCAAACCGCTGAACCAACCAATTAATTGTTCGAACGGTTTTGATCATTTTCTAATTTTTTATTTTTTGTCATAATGGGCTGGTTGTTCAGGTCAAACGGTCGGACTGTTCAAATCGGTAACCGGACTCCTGACCGTTTCGTTTTTAAAAACCATGTTTTTAACAATAAATCTAGAAAACCACAAAATAGGAGCAAACAACCATTGGTGCACAAATGAAAAAAGAAAAAAAAAAATATATATATATATATATATATTTATATTTATATTTATGTATGTATGTATGTTGGAAATTTTACAAAAAAAAGAAAAAACTATAAAATCGCAATAAAATTATGAAAAACTCTTAGGTATTAACTCTCTCTGTCTCCATCCAATGGTTAATGCTTGTAACAATTATATGACCCCACCTTAAGTTAGCTGATGTAACATCCTGGTAGGGATACAACAATCTGCACTATACACATTATCTTAGCAAAAGTGAATTGTTGCTTTCCTATTTAAATTTAAGTATCTTTACATTCATTTTGACTCAGGTGGTGTGGATGCACCATGAGATCTTGCGTTTTCAAACACGCCACCCCAAAACTAGTGGTTCGGTTGCACCATGGTGGATTAAATCATACTATATTGTGGATTGGTCTATGCCACAAGGCAAAATATCATCTACAGTTATTTCTCGTGGACAATCCATTTTTATTGTAAATATTTATCTTCAATATGTTTTCATGCTTCACACTACTCTCAATATATTATTGTTGCATTTAGGGCTCGCCATTGTGAAGCTCGCGTCTTCTACCTCTCTATCTCACATCGGGCACTGTTGCTACTCCGAACACCATTACATGATTGAACTGTCAGATGTAAGTGATTCATCTCCGTTTTCCACTATCATTTTGTTTTTATTTTCTTGTGCAATATTTCCCTCTTACCATTTGGTTTCATTGGTCATTACAAGGCTTGCTGCTACTAATCCGTTGCTAGGTAGAAGCTGGCCATTGTTCACCATTTCTCACCATTAAGGATGCAAACAGATCAAATCGAATTCGAATAAGGGTATATCCGAATCTGATCAGACATTGTTCATTGCAAATTCGATTTGATCAGATCTGATAGGCAATGATTTGAATTCAAATCCGATTGGGTTTTCTTTAAAAAATAATAAATTATTAAAAGAAAAATCAAATATACCAATTTAAAAAAACAAAAGATGCAAGTATTTTTTTAATTATTTTCATTATATATACATGTTTTTTTATAAAAAATAAATAATATAAAAAGTTACAAAAATACAATATAAATAATATATTTATAAATAAATAAATAACATACATACGATCCTATTATCCGACTCGAAGATCCAAACAGGGGTGATCCGAATTCGACTAGATATAATCAGAACTCGGATCGGATCATGATCCAATCCATTTGCACCCCTACCCTCGTTATCTGCCATTGCAACAACTATCGTCATCACTAGTAAGAACTTATGCACCTAGCTAGATTTTGAGATAAGCATTCCCAATTTCCCATTACTATCATATCGTGTGTTAATCCATATTGTAACTAAGATGCATGGAATCATAACATAAGGTGTGGACCAAAATGCAGCAAATCTTGTAGAACACATACGGAGGTGTGGTGTGGTTCAATTCACACATCTTTGTCTACGATTAGGCCTGTAAATGGATCGAATTCGAATCGAATCAGGCTAGATTCGAATTTGAAACCGATTATGAACATTATTATTCAAATTTGATTCTATATTCAACGGATATCAAATCTTTGAGTTTGAATCGATTTCGATTATCAAATCGAATGTCCAATTCGATTCGAATTCGACCTATTGACTTTTCGAATGTGAATTCGAATCCGATTTGATTCGAATCAGATTCGATTCAAATAGACACTGTATACATTTTGCAAAGAAAGTGTGAATCTACATCATAACCAAAAACCCAAAAACCAGTAAATCATTATCTAAATCACTATTAGAAATTTGTGATTTGAAAATTACCTTGGGAAAAGAGGCAGGGGACAACGGCAGGCGTGGGTTCTYGGCGGCAGTCATGGGTTACAACACAAGAAGGTGATGCTGGCGATTCACACTGAGATTGAGAAAAGAAGGTGATGCTGACGATTCACACTAAGACTAAGAAAAGAAGAAGATGGGTTCCCGACGACAATTGTGGGTTGTAGCACAAGAAGGTGATGCTGGCGATGATTCATTGTCTCATTGTCAATGAGATTGAGAAAAGAAGGTGAATAGTGATGGGTTCTCGGCGGTGATTGACTGTCTCACTATCACTGAGATTGAGATTGAGAAAAGAGAGATAGAGGTGATGAGATGAGTGACGACGGTGATGAAGGGCGATGACTAGTGACGGACCGATGGTGGTTGCTCGAGTGGCGTCCGATGACGACGAAGGGAGTGACAGATGAGTGACGACGGTCATTAGTTATTTTTTATTTTATTTTTTTTAATCTTTATATTATATAATAATATAATATATATTATATAATAATATAATATATATTATATAATATATTAATATATAATCTTTATATTATATATATATAATCGGTTCGGATATTTATTAGATCGGATCAATGCATATCCGAATTTGATCCGATAATTTATTAGTACAAAAATGATATTCGAATTCGACCGAATATTCGATTCGAACTATTTGAATTCGATTCGATTATGCCGAATCTCGAATTCAAATTCGGATTTTCGAATACTGTTTACAGACCTATTTACAATGCAAAACAACTATCTTATTGAAGATGGTGTATTTTCATCTACAAACACATCACCCAATTTCTCATCTATACTATAGAATACCCCCTCAATCACTAATAATTACACAAATTAGATGGGATTTGGTAGAGCCAACCGCCCATACATTAGTTCGTCTGAATCCAAACTGGTGTTAAAAACCCAAACTTAATCAAATTTCTGTTTAACCCCATATATTTCATGAATTTACTTGCCAATTAAGACATATACAAGAGTAAGGATATAGTGTGAATACAAGTGTCTCTTTGTAGTTGTAGTTGRTTCCGTAACCCGGTTAACACGGCAGCATTCCCATCCAGATCCAGACCAGCAGGTCCCAATTCCCAAAAGAACCGAAACCAAAGTAAACCTTGACCCCACAGTATCTGTTTGATACGGAGAATCGCTTGTCGTGGATGCATATACATCATAGTCCATAGAGCGTTTCTGTGATTGGGTCCCAATCCTCTGATTCTTTCCGGGCACAAGGTATGTAAAGAAATGAAGAAATTGGGATTTGGGGGGATAGAATAGAACACGTTTTGTAATTGAATTGCAAATGGCCGACTGAAGAAGATGATGCGGACAGCGGATTGATTGGGGTTGGGTCGACTCAAGTGGGACCGACCCCAAAACAGCCTCACATGGCAAACTATAAATTATGTCATCTTCTTTTACTCTTCAAAAATCAAAACTGTTCGGTTCGCTTTCTTTTGTCTTTTCATTCAACTGTCAACGTTTAGAAGGCTCAAAGTATCCATACTATACATATCACATCGTGTATATATGCATGTATAGATTTTCAAGGTTTATTTATTAGGTAATAAAACATCTTAACATGTATAAATGTTAATATTCAGATTAATATAAAAAAAAAATCTATAATATTAGAAAGACACGATATCGTAAAAAGCCTTGACCAATCAAAAGTTCAAAACCAAATTTGATGAAAACCCACCTCATTAGCTTTTGGCATCTTTATAACCTTTCCATCACCAATTCACCATTATCTTCGTCTGACAAATCAGAATTTTTGATTATCCAATTAATTATATTCTTCCTTCAATCAGCTGAAATACAGTGGTTATCCGAGAAAATACATTATAGATCAAAGAAGCAGTTTGACCGAGACCGCAAAATTGACTTGGTTAGTTAAGAGTATAAATGCGAATATGTACAGTGTAAATACATACAAAATATAAGGTTTTGCACTCTACATATTTGTATTTGAACTCTTTCCAAACTCAGCCTCAAGGAAAAATTCCCCAATGTATTTTGCGATTAGTGTCATTTTGATTTTTCGACTTTAAAATACGACAATTCAGTGCCTTAACTTTTAAAATGTAAAAATATAATACCTAATATTAATTAACTGTTAAATGACATTTGAAAAGACATAAATGTCCTTTGAGTATCATCTAATTTTCTTTATCAACCATCCAAACATTGACAAAAAAAAATAATAATAACAGTTCTAAATCATTTTCTCTTTTTTTCACGTCTCAATGGACATTCTGGTGACTCCAATTTTCTTGAATTGAAGAGGCAAGGATTTAGCACTGTTCATTTTTTGTCAACGTGTAGATGGTTGATAAAGAAAGTTAGATAACACTCAAAGGGCATGTGTTTTTTCAAATGCCACTTAATGGCTGGTTAACGTTATGTATTAAATAGGTACATTTTGAAAGTTTGTGTATTGAATTGTTGAATTTTAAAATTTGAGGGCCAAAGTGGCACTAAGCCCAAAGTACAAGATACTAATAGATACTAATAGGGAATTTTTCCTTTATTCAAAATTTCAAACAAGGACGAGTAAGTATTTGGAGGCTTGGAGCAATGTGTAACTATAATATACCCTTTTGATAAGAACTATAACTACACTTTTAGGCTGTTTTTGATCCTATATAAGGTTTGTATAGGCTTCCTTACCTTTCCCTACACTTCCTTTTTAAATCAATCATGACCTTACTGATGAAAAAGTCACTTTTTTTTTAATAATTAATTGGATCAGATCATTCAGAAGTTTTCATCCTATCTTGTCGGATTTGGATATTCCCATTTCGAATCTTTGGATCAGATATATGATTCAATCATAAATCAAATCAAATTCAGATCACCTCCTTATCCGATCCGAGAGAATCAAATCCGATATATATATATATATATATATATATATTATTTATATTACCTTTTTGCAATTTTGTTATATTAGTTATTTATTTATAAAAAACATGTATAGATATGATGAAAATGGTTGGAAAGATACTTAAACTTTTGTTTTTCTTTATTTAAATTGTTATGTTTTATTTTTCATTTAATAATTTATTAATTATTTTAAAACTTTCAATTGGAGTGGATGAGATCCGAGACTTCCTCATCCCTCATGCACTGTACCTCTTACAACTTGCCAGTTGCCACAATTATTGTACACATACTAGTCTCTGAGAGTCAAAAAATAAAAAAATAAATAACAACTTGCGAACTTTAAGTTGCCGTGCCATTTGAACAGGTGAAGTAGCTTAACTGAATGTCAACGTTGAACAAAGAGCAGAAAGGAATTCACTGTTTTGGGCTAAGCTGTAACGTTAGTGTCTTTTTTTTCTTTTTTTCTTTCTTGAAACTCTGTAGCTCTTGGAAAATAAGTGTGTTTATCTTCCACGTGTAAATTTTCTACTGATGATTTAATGAAAGTGTTATTGATAAAAAAAAATGTCAACGTTGAACAACTACAATAACCTGGGCTCATGGATTCGAGTTCGGCTTCGGTCAGTGCAATGCCCGTGCTCACACCATTCGAACAGCATCATGCAACCGTGCATTGACCAAAGCCGAACTCCATGGATTCAATAACATCATCAATGTTAACAATGAATATAAATGCATAAAAGACCAAAGAAGCAAAAAAATCTCCCTGAAAGGTTACTGAACTGAATTACGCATTCATAAAATAATTTAACAATGCAAATTTTTGGCGTGTGAGAATGTATTTTATATAAACAAATGAATTCAAGGTATATGTACATATCCGGAAGAAGTAAATCAATTTTTCTCTTTCGGCTGCAAAGAAGCAGCAAAGTTAAAATTCTGACGAAAAGATGAAACTCGCTACTACCAAGTGCCCCTCACCCAATCAGAAGCCAAGACGTCTGATCTAATGGAAACAAATGATGAAGCACCACAAGACAAAGATAGAAAAATCAGTTACCACATTCTTGCTCTCAAAAATCATAATCTATGTCTGTTATGTTCTGGGAAACTGAGCGTTTAACAAGCCGTTCTTGCTCATCATAGCGATCAAAATTCTCACATGGAGCGGGGAAGATAGTCCCGATGACACGACCTTGAACAAACGCACACTGGAAAATATGCTTCTTCTTGTATGTTATCCCCACTGACATGTCACGGAAGGTGACATTTCTCACAGGGATCTCTTCGCTGCCATGGATTCGCACTGGGACACGGACACCCTGGCCATGGATTGCAGTGAAGCTTATGTCTCCAAGGACTGGAAGGGCCTTGGGGTCATACCCTCCATCAGGGTGCTCGTTGTAGTCAGTCTTGATGACAATCCCCACCCGAACATTGTCAAAGGTCACATTCCGATAGGTTATATGACGAACATATCCTCCTCTTCCAGGACTTGTCTTGATCCGAACACCCCTTCTTGAATTCCAGACATAGAGGTTCTCCACTGTAACATTTGAGACTCCACCTGACATTTCACTGCCTATTGATACTCCAGCACTGCCAATAGTTCAATAAAGGTATATTTTAGTTACTCACATGTCTGAACGGTTTAGAGTGTTTATTATTTCCTACAATGTAACAGAATTATAAACCCCCCCCCCCCCCCCCCCTTCACCCATGGCTAAACCTCGAAACATGCTTGAAGTTGAATATATTCAACTAATAAGCACTAATGGGGCTAAAGTACCACAATGGCATGCAATAATCGATATAAATTGCACTACAATATATAAATTATACTCTATCTTGGAAGATGTTTTTTGTTGAGAGGAATTGAGTTTCTATGCAGTTTGAAGCTTTAAGAGTTATGAAGTTTGTGAATGGAGAACCTAACTTTGTTGTTACTGTGGTCCAAGTTCTGCGCATAGGGGAGGTTTTATTAATTGAATATAATCCTATGTATTTCCGTGATCTTGTACATTGTGAAGCTACCTATGGAAGTAATCATTCCTAGCCTGACATGTCCGGGCCTGCACCAGGCCCAGAAATTAACAGTGGGCCTGGGTCTATATTTTAGGTCCAGAGTGTGAACCGGGCAGGGCCTAGGCCTAGGTCTAAGTTTAGCCCCTTACCCAAGGGACTAATAAACGGAAAGTCCAAATTGGCCTTCAATTCCCTAATTTAAAACAAACTCTCCAAAAATTAAAAAAAAAAAAAAAAACACTGATTCCACTCCACACACTAAGAAAGGGAGGAAAAAGACCAAATAGGCCTTCCATTCCTTGACAATTGCTGGATGAACAACTTAGTAACAATATGTTTGGTTGCTATAATCTATCACAACATTACGAGGGAGATTTTTTCACAGGGACTCTCTAGAAAGTTACAAAGCTTATTCCACCAAACTAAAGTGGCTGAGCCCTTAGCAAGCAAAAGTCCACCAGGTTCCATATAAATGGAAATTGTTTCCATTAAGACCAACGCAAACTTGCTCATATGTGTTTCGGTATATGCACACATGGTTACATCTATAAATATTAAAATCAGATGCTGAAAACAAAAACATTATATCTGCAAATTATTGCTTGTAACAGAAGACATAAATGGACATGGATGCATGCATATCTTATACAGATGCAATTACAGTATAATGACATATTTTTCCCTGCCTCATCATATACATACTATGACATGAGTGGACCCATGCAAGTTTTGAAAACACCAAATAAGATAGGGACCCCCCTCTCCAAAATGTAAGGTTTACACAGTATACCTCCCAAAATAACAGTCCTCTCTCTGCCCCTGATGTTTTAATACAGGAGCCATTACCCTCAGGGCATGAATTTATGCATTTCCATGCTGACTAGAAAATGTAAGGTGGAAAGCTGCTCACCTCACCATGGAGCGAACAACAAGGTTCCTGATGAGAATGTTGGCAGATGGCTGACCATAATTAATTCCATATTGATCCCAACCACTTTTAATTGCAATTCCGTCATCTCCTACACTTATATAACAGTTCTCTATCACCACATTTTCACATGAATCTGCATAGACAAAAAAGTGATCTGAATTAGAAACAATGAGTTTAAAACTAAAACCACATTTTCTTCCTTGGGTTAGCTTTGTTTTCAGGTTCAGGCTTAGATTAAGCATATGGCCCAGATCGAAGAGCCAATTATCAAGAAGCTTTGGAGTCAAAAGTAAAACTGAGGGGAGGAAGGTTCAGACCATATTGTTGGTCCTTTGGGAGGGAGGTAATAAAAGAAAGTTCAAAAATAAGGTCAGTCTTATGCTCATTATCTATGTCAGAGTCCTTTTCAGACCAAAAAGAAATTTGGTCAATGAGATTTAACAGAACATTCTTTAGATCTTATACTCATCTCTTTCCCTACCACTTACAAACATGGTGTAAGATACTGGACCGATTCAGATCAATTATTCACTTAAGCAAAGCTATTTGTATCAGTTTAAGTGCTAATCTTCAGGAATGTTCAAGGGCAAATTGGGCAAAGATAAAATATAGGAAACTTCTAGAATTCTAAGAACCCAAAATCATTATAAATAGGGCCCATACCCATATGGGGACCCATAAATAACAAACCCATTATGGGGGAGGAGAAACCTGGATTTTCACTCTCCCCTCCCTCTTGATCTCGCACTGCCTCTCTCTTGTCCCCTGTAACCATTGCCATTCCCCGGACCTTCAGAGTCAAACCACCACCACCGCCTCACTGAAGCCAGTTGGCTTACACATGGTTTGGGACAGAGTCCTTAAGGGAGTGCTGGTTGAAATTTGATGGTATTTCTTAAGGCAGGGCATAATCACTGTCATAGTTGGCCATTGGATAAAAAATGAGCCAAGAGTGTGCTTTTCACTACAGATGATGAAATCAGAAATTGGCAATCAGCCACTTCTTCCTCTACTAGAAAACCAGTAGTCTCCAGGGATTAGTATCCTCCTTTGGACACCCATAAACAAACCTTTTGGGGTGGTTGTGTTGGTAATCTGGGAAATTCAGGAATAGTGTGAGTCATCAGAGATCATCAGGAAGAGGTTGTTCTCTGGTATTCTTGCCTCCATTGGAGTGGGCAACTCAATCCAGGCAGAGCTACTTTCTTCTCTCCAAAGCCTGAAGATCTGGCCCCATTGATTATAGTTCCTTAGGTAAGCAGAGGTCATCAAAGATTAGCAGTTCTGTTCCCAATAGGGCAAGGAACGTGCTTAGGGCTTTCTGGAATCACATAGAAGTTGCTAACTCCACTAAACAGATGCTATGCCCCTTCTAGTTGGACTTGGGAGTATATATCTGGAGGTCTTCTCCTTTATTGATGGAGATTCTGCAAAAGGTATCAGCTAGTACAAGGATTGTAGAACACTTGGTGACTGTCTCATGCACTAAATGAGATACAATATCCTCGTTGATCCAAGGGGGCTGAATGCTATGGCAACTAACTTAGCTAGAGCATGCATTTCAAGTAATTATGTGTATAGTAAATTCTCACCTTGGGGAGGCTTCTCTACCGTAGCTTGTACAACTTTGAGATGGGCTTTCCCCTTTTGTTTGATGCTCTTCTTATACATCATATTCTTTTCCACTAATAATTAATGCAATCCCTTTTCATTTTCATGATTCAACAAGGAAGAGGAAAAGGATACAATGCCTAAGACATCACTTCAGCATCATCATATATATTTATTTGTTGAAAAGGAGAAACTGATAGACAGTAAGGAAAAACATGAACAAAGCATACTCACCAGGATCTATCCCATCTGTGTTTGGGGCTTCAAAAATAGGAGCCAAGATGGTAACATTTTTGATAATTACGTTCTTGCAATCATAGGGATGGAATGTCCAGAAAGGAGAGTTGCGCAAAGTTATATTGGATATCTGGATGTCACGTGAAAACATGATCTGCACAAGTGGGCCCCTAGTGTGGTTGAGAAGCTTTTGACGATACTTCACCCACCATGCTTGACCTTGTCCATCAATGGTACCATTATGCCCTATTGTCAAAAGAACTACCCCTTTTAGATCATTGAATTCATGATGAGCACCAAACTTACCTAGCCATCTAATGCAACAAAGCTCTAAACAGAAATCTAATAGAAGAGAAACAAAAATACTCATCTACAGTCAATTGAAGAATTTTGAACTTAAATGCATAAAACCAGAGAAAATGGCATAATAAAATATGAGTGCACATGAACAGTGTTTGTGATCTTTTACAGCCCTAAAACCTTACAAAACTCTTTATAAACTCCCTAAACTACCCTTGACAAATTGACAGTAATAAATAACAAAACAGACCTCTTTGTCGTTCAAATCTAATTAACTAACTATTAGACTAAAGTTGATGAAACTTTAGCAGAAATTACTGGATTCGTGGCCTACTCAACTGGTGGGGTCCAAATGGTCAAACTTTGATTTGAATGTGACCACTACTGACAGTCCTCAGTATCTGACATTCAAAAGGTGGCTTGATGAAGGCCAACCACTTGTCTGATCAGCCCTATGTTTGTATGGCTTATATATTCTTTTAACTTCAATATATCCAAAATCCAGCTCAATCCAAAAGTTGGATTGAGAAAAATTGGTTCAGCAACTACTGCCCAGTGCCCAAAAGTTACCAAGGATTTACCTTGAGCATGAGGGAATTTAATAATCTAACAGACTTCCTTGAGTTAAAGGAACCACCTCTTTTACAAGCCGATTTTACTTGGTCAAACTTCCAAGCCATCCCAATTTGCTCAAAACTGGACAGTTTCTTATTTTCAGTAGATTGGGAAGAATTGTGGGGAAATATAGTTGCAAGAGCTTTGCCTAGAGTAACCTTAGACCATTGCCCTATTTGCATAGGACAGGAGAGTTCGTTTCGTGGCTCTTCACCTTTCTATTTTGAAAATATGTGGGTGGAGTACCCTTCCTTCAAAGAGAGAATCAACTCTTGGTGGGGTGATGAAAGACCATACAACAGGAGAAAGGGTGTAAGGTTTACAAGAAAATTGAAAAAAAAAATTAAAAGAAAAGATCAAAGATTGGAATAAAGATCAGTTTGGAAGACATAGAAGATGCCCAAAAGAGAGTATTTTCAAAGATTGAGGTTTTCGATAAAAAAAGAAGTTTAGAGAAAAATTACTAAGAAGGAAAGAGAAGAATGGTGGAAGTTGAAGATAGGGTTAGAAGAGATTTTAAGAAGAAATTTCTTTTTTTTTTTTTTTTTGATAGATGGAAAGAAGAAATTTCTTGGAGACAAAAATCTAGATGTAAATGGCTATTGGAGGGGGATGAAAATACAAGGTTTTCACTCCCTAGAAAATGGGAGGAGGAAGAACTAAGATTTTCATGGATCACTTTAAGGGTATCTTTTCAAGATTGGAAGAAAGAGTATAGAACTCCCAGATCTAGAATGGAATAGGGTGACAACTATCCAATCTATGACCATGGAGAGAAATTCAGTCTGGAGGAAATAAGAGAGGCTGTTCTCTCTATGGAAAGATCAAAAAACCTTAGGTCCCAATGGATTTTCTGTGGCCTTTTATCAGGACTGTTGGGTAACTTTGAAATATGATTTCTCTTTGATGAATTCATTTTTCCACCAAAAGGGGAGATTTCTCCAGAAGCAAATGCCACTTTTATTCCATTGGTGCCTAAAAAGGAAGCCAAAACCCCAAAGGATCTTTGGGAAGTCTTTATAAAATCATAGAAAGAGTTTTGTCTGGCAGATTGAAAAAGGTTCTATCCACAATAATTTCAGAATTCCCAAGGTTTCTTTGTTGAGGGTAAGGGTGTCAATGGACCGGTTTTGCATTGGACCCCGTCCAGTCCAAAATCAATTTAGATGGACCAATAAGACATATTGGATTGGACCAATCCGGTCCAAAATATTTATTAGATTAGATTGGACCTGGTCCGTCCGTAACAAATTTATATTGGATTGGGTTAGATTAAAGCCAATATCTAGTCCATTGATATAAGATAAGAATATATGTGTCAATGGACCGGGCTTGGGTTGAAACCAATCTAAATCAAAAGAAATTTGAACAGTTTGGACGGTCCAGACATTGAATTGGACCGGTCCAAATTGGTCCAAAACATTCATTGGATTGGACTGGACCTGGTCCATTTATAATGGACTCACATTGGACTAGATCGGATTGGACCAAATCCAGTCCAATTGACACCCCTAGTTGAGGGTAGGCAAATTGTAGACCAGATTTTAATGGCAAATGAGTGTGTAGTAGAGAAAAAGAAAGGTGGGGAAAAGGGGTTCATTTGCAAACTAGACCTAGAGAAGGCATATGATTTAGTGGATTGGTAATTCCTTCTTGAAATCATGGAGAAAGTTGGATTGGGCAAAAGGTGGAGATTGTGGATAAAAGGTTGTTTAAGCTCAGTGCATTATTTGATCCTAATAATGGAGCTACTAGATATTTTTTCCTAGCAAAAAGAGAAAAAGAGTTTTGAGACAATGAGATCCTTTATTCCTTTTCCTATTCACTTTGATTGAAGAGGTTCTAAGTAGAATGATCATCAAGGTTGACCCAGATAACTTGATTAGAATGATCATCCACTTTGATTGAAGAGGTTCCAGTAACACACTTGTAGTTTGCTGACAATATAATTCCTTTTGAGATGGATACAAACAAAACTCCCTAAGAAATCGTAAGGAACTTATTTGCACCTTTGAGAGTGTTTCAAATTTAAAGGTTAATTTGGGGAAAAGTTGTGTTCTAGGGATAAATGTGCAAGAGGAAGAAATTCATAGGATAGCAGGGCTCTGGGCTCTTAGTTTGTGAGGTTAGAAGTTGGCCTCTAGAACAGCTAGGCCTTCCCTTGGGTGGGATCCCAAGAATAAACGGATTTTGGAAACTGGCAATAGAGAGATTTGCTAAAAAGTTGGCCCTTTGGAAAAAAAAAAAAAAAAAAAACTAAACTACATCTCAGTGGGTGGGAGAATAACCTTAATCAAAACTACTATGGATAATCTTCCTATCTACTTTTTGTCCACCTTTCGTATTCTGGTTAGAAATTTAGAATAGCCAGACATAGAAAAGTTTAGAAGGGATTTCTTGTGGGAATTAGGGGATGAGAAGAAAAATCACTTGGTGAAATGGGAACAAGTTAGTAAGCCTAAAGAAAAGGGTGGGCTTTGAAATAGGCAATATGATCCATAGAAATACAAAACTTCTAGGCAAATGGTAATGGAGATTTCCTATAGAAAGAGAAAGGGTGTGGCACAGGGTAATTGAAAGAATACATGAGTGATTAGATAATTGCTAGGATGCAAAGGTGGCTCCTCATTCAACTTCAACTTCTCCTCTTGGAAAGCAATACAAGAGGTTTACCCAATATTTCTTAACCATATTCATTTTGATGTGGGGTGTGGGAACAGAGTTCTGTTCTGGGAAGATTTATGGATAGGTGAAAACCCACTCAAGATTCAACTTACTTTGCTTATGCTCTCTCTAACTACAAATCTAATCCCATCACAAAATTTGGGATTTATTTTGTTTCTGGAATAAACCAGGACTTTAGGGTTTAGGAGGGGTCTTAGTCTTAGGGAAATGGAATGTGAATCCCTTATTTATCTATTTACCAGGTTAGAATCAATTTTCTTGGACCAAAACACAGAGGACACTATGGTCTGGTCAATATCCTCTAATGGTTTCTTTACTTGTGCCTCCTTCAATAACTTCACACAACCTAGTCCCATGGAGGTGAACTTCTCAGTAAAAGATCTTTGGAGCAAGCCAATTCCTCCTAAGATTTAGGCTCTGTGTTGGGAAGTCTTCCTTGGAAAGATAAACACCTATAACATGCTGCAAAAAAGAAGGCCAAAGCCAAACAAATGCCTTTCCCCTCTTTTTTTTTGATAGATAATGATAATGAAAATTTTATTAATTAAAGAATTAAGTATACATCATACAATTCCCCACTAAGAGGCGTGAGGTGCAGCCTCCAAACTACATCATAAAGCTTACAATTGAGCCCAAAAGAGCTGATTCCTATGTACTCCTTGTTTAGCTAGGTCTGCCAGCCCATTTGCCGATCTTCTTTCCCATTGAACTGTGACTGAAATATTTGAAGTCAGCCACTTAAATCTTCTCAAAGCCCCCCTGTACGGCCAGGCTGCCGTCTCTAGTTCTTTTAGCCATCCAACAACCAATTTGGAATCACCTTCAATCATTAAATGCTCCACTGCCAACTCTCTTGCATATTCTGCTCCTTGTAACACATTTCAAGTTCTGCATTTACTGAGTCTCCCCACTCTATAGGACCAGAAAATAGAACTACAATCTGACCCTCATCATTTCTAAAGACTCCCCCTATTCCAGATGGCCCCGGGTTGCCCAAACTACTGCCATCAAAATTTAGTTTAATGACACCTGCATCAGGAGACTTCCAATCCACCACCGTCTTGCTTCTGACTGCGGAACTTTTAGCTAGTTGTTCCCAATTTCTCTTTATGTCATCAAAAGTGTAGGAGGAGAACAGATCCAAGGATTTTACCCAACTTATGGCCCTACATAAGCTACTTTCTAACACACATGTTTGATCCCTCTCCTTGTCATTAAAGATTCTACCATTTCATTCCACCCACACAGTCCACACCAAAGCAGCTCTAACACACCTCCACAAAACTCTTCCTCTTCTCTTTGGCCACCTAAAAGTTGTAGGATCAAAAAGATTGCAAGTCTTCTTTGTAAAGCAAGCGGTGAGACCATTCTCCATCTTCTAATATTCTGTTCTTTTGTGCTCTGTGTTTGGGAGCATTTTTGTTCTCTTTTTAGATGCAAGTGGATCCCTTCTTAGGACGTGGTGAGTCTTTTCAATCCAAACTTCTTAAGGCAGCCAAAGAAAAGATGAAGGACAATGAGGGAACTATTAAGAGTTAGTGTGGTAGTGGTTTGGAGCATATGGGAAGAGGGGAACTGGAGGCTGGAGGATATTCAATGAGAAGAGCAGGATCTGAGGAGGAAACCATAGATTCCATAAAGATAAAAGTTGCACACTGGGTAAAGACAATGGAAGTCTTTCAAACTTTCTTGGAAGTTGGAAGTGAGAACTTGGACAGAAATGACACACTCTACTAAAGAAGAGAGTAATCATGGAACGGAAACCTCCAACAATCAACTTATTTTATAAGTGAAAGAAGGGGATTTTATTAGAAGGACATCAGAAAAGAGTTATACAAAGATTTCCCAAGGGGAGGCACAAGAAGTTGCCCACCCAAGCATCACACCGTTACAACTGAGCCCAAAACAGATGATTCCTTTGTACCCCTTGCTTAGCTAAAGAATCAGCTATACCATTGGTGAACCTCCTTTCCGATTGAATTCTTACTGTCATATTTGATGTCATCCTTTTGAATCTTTTCATTGCATYCCTATATGCCCACACAACAGAATCCGGATCTCTAAGCCAACCAATTATCAGCTTAAAGTCCCCTTCAATTGACCTCCTACAATCAACTTAATAAAACTGGATTTTGATGGGAGCTCTTGAGGTATTCAAGGGATGGCTGGTATAGGGGGTTGTATTTTGGGATTCATCTAGTAAGGTGTTGGCTTTATGTTCAGGCCCCATAGGATGAGGTAACTCACTGAAAGCTGAGTTGATGGCACTATTGCATGGGCAAAGGTTTTGCATAGTATGGGTTCCGGCAATTGGAGTGGAGGGAAACTCCCAGGCGGTTGCCTGGACAAGATGCAATAATCAAATTCCTTGGATCTACAAGCGCGCCTTTAGGGTAATTGAAAGCCTATTAAGGGAGAGAAGTATTGCTTTTAAGTGGGTGAGAAGAACTGCAAATGGGATGACAAATACTCTAGCAAAACAAGAGGTTAATAGGCAACAAATGTTTTGGGCAAAAGTGTAACTCTTTTTGTATTATGGGAAGGTTGAATCTTCCCAGATTGTTGTAATCTTTTAATTTTCATAATTAATAAAATCTTCTTTGCTGATAATAACAAGTTGGATTGCTGACTTTAACTGCAACAGCTACTTGCAACCTTCTCTTGAGTTTATTCTTTTGACTTTTTTGTCATCRCTTTCTTAAACCTATCTGCATTGCTATCCATGTGAAAATACATTACCAGCCAACAACCTAGACTGTCTTATAAAGAGCTAAAACACAACCTAGACCCAACATTGGCCAACCATTGCAGTTTGATGCATAAGACACTAACAGTTTCCGGTACCAAGATGATACTTTTATCAGAATTATTAGAAATTAATCTTTTTTCCTTTCCTGCATGCATGTTTTCCTCTCTCCAAAATTTTGTGCTTAAGAACCAGAAGCTTAGAAAACTAGGTCCACCCAATCAATGAAAAGAGTAATGTTGAATTTATACTTTGTCAGGATTTCACATGCATAGCTCTGACATATTCATGACACCATGAAAGAAAATACTTGTTTTAGAATTCTAGTTCTGTCATCTTCCAAGTCAAGGCTGGCTGACAATACAAAAAAGACTGTCATAAACCCCAAGTGAAATAGAAAAACTAGAAATGATAAAAGAAAATTGTCTAACCTGTTATGACAACATCTTTTAGATTTTGGCCATGGATAAGACTTCCATATCGGGGTCCAGGATGCTCTCTCCCATATCCATATGATGGCAATGGAGGCATCAGCGGCCACAGTTTCTCATCCTGTTAAAAAGTGTGTTCATAGAATAATACTAGAGCAAGCAATAACTTGTATACAGCTAAGATAGAAACAGTTATAATCCACCCAACTTCTTCTTTCTTTTTTCTGTTTTTTTTTTTGGAGAATGAATGTATTAAAATAAGGTATGGAGAGATATTTCAGATCCTATGTACCATAAACATCTATAGAGAGTTTTACCTTTCCTTGTTACTTTCTCTTTGGGATTTTTTTGTCTTTTTGTGCAGGACCAATTCACCCTTTCAAACTTAGCAAGCTCCCTTAAGTTTTTTTTTTCGATAAAAGGTAAAGGTAAATTCATTAGTTCTCAACAAATCCCTGTTCAATAAGAGGCTGTACAAATGCAAAAAAACTGCCCCTGCAGTGTTAGTAAGATATGCCATTGCAATTTACACAAAAAAGTCATATTAAAAAAGGGCAATTTCCTTAAACTACCCCTACTGTTTGCGAAATTGACTAACTGTACCCTTACTGTTTGACTATTGTTTAACGCTACCCCTACTGTTTCTGACAATTGACTAGCTCTACCCCTACCATTAGCATCCGTTAATGCTCCGTCACGATCTATGCACATGTGACTCCACTTGACCTATAAAATTTTTTCAAAACCCAATATTACCCTCGTCCCCCTCATCATCGTTCAGAAAACCTGCTCCAGCAGCACCTGCTGAACATTGATCCTCACTTCTTTGGCCATGCTTGATCCTCAAGAAAACAACCAGTAGCACCCGCTGCAAATAAGTCCCGGACAGTCCTCTGAACAGGAAACGATACAGTACTTGTTGTTGAAGTTCTCAGATCTCCCCCTCTTCCTCCGGTCTCTCTCCGCTCTCTCTCTCTCCCCCCCCCCCAACCTCTGCTCTCCCATGTTTCACAAAGAGTCCCTTCTCTCTTAGCCTTCTTTCTCTATAATAAACCGGGATAAATGAAAATCAGTGGAGAACCGATGATCTATCAAATGGAGCACCGGCTTTAGCTCCCAGATAAACACAAAGAACAAGACAGTGTTTTTTTTTTGGAAGAGGTAAGGTAATTTTATTCAAATCAAAAGCACATACAAGCTGGATTCAGACCCAGAAGGGCAGCCTGAAAACCACAGCAGTTACATTCTCCACCAGGAGTTAGAGAAAGGGAAAGAAGACAATTTCAGACTTTTGAAATCCTCAGATACAGACACCCAAGATATCAGCTTGCCCACAGCTTTCTGAATGATATCTTCAGGACTTTTAGCTTTATTACAGAAAATTCTACTACCCCTCTCAGCCCAAATGGACCATAAGACAGCAGCAGGAATACTCCTCCACACCAGGCTCCCTTTCTTGCTTAGGCCTTTCGCATTCCAACAACAGAGAARCTCCTTAACCGATCTATGCATTACCCAACTGAAATCCAAGGCTTTGAGAAAGTGTCCCCAAATCTGAGAGGAAAATGGACAATGAATACACAAGTGATCTGTTGATTCAGCATAGTACCCACAAAGACTACAGGAAAGATCCATAACATGGATGCCCTGCCTCACCAGATTAACTCTGGAAAGACATTTGTCAAGGGCCATCGTCCAAATCAGAAAGTTGGCTTTTGATGGACTTATAGAATTCCAGATCTGTGAAGCAGGAAAATCAGTGAGACCCAAATAGCAGATTTTAGAGGCAAGGGATTTGACAGTAAATTCACCATCTGAATTCCATTTCCAACACCATTTGTCTTCCGACTGCAGATCAATCTTCTGCTTCTGAAGAAGAGCCATCAGATCCACAAYCTCTTCTAATTCCCAATCAAATAAATCCCTCCTAAAGATGGGAGTCCAAGTAAGAGATCCACCAGTCGAACAGCAGTACTCAGCCACAGGAGTTTCTTGGTTAGAAGCACACTGAAAAAGTATAGGAAAAGACTCAGTGTCCCATCCAAACACCAAGGATCCTTCCAAAATTTTGTTCTATCCCCTTTACCAATCTTGACTGAAATCCCTTCCATGAAAACAGAGAAATTTTTCATGATAGCTTTCCAAGGGGAACTACCCCAACTTAGGGGAACACCACTGTCTTCACCATCTTCTGGCGGCGAAACACACAGTTCGCCAGAAAAAGGGATCAGGCATCATCATCGGAACTGCTCATCAGTTGGGTTTTATTTTGAAATTTGAGGAATAGTAGAGGGCAAATTCGATATTTTGTTTCCTTCCTTTAGCACTTAACGGCGATGTCAATTTTTAGAAACAGTAAGGGTACTTTAAGACAATATGTAAACAGTAAGGGTACAGTTAGTCAATTTTGCAATCGGTAGGGGTAGTTTAAGGAAATTGCCCTAAAAATGTATTATGACTCCATCATTTGAAAGACTTATGAATGGCTAGCCAAGAGTGTAGTTTGCCCAGAATCCGTTGGAAAACTTTGTCTACTGAAGCTGCCTTATCCTTGAAAATTCTGGAATTCCTTTCCTGCCATAGGATACAGAAGACAGCTGATGCAACCATATTCCAAGAAATTCTTCTCCTCTTGCTCAAACCATCCAACCTCCATCCTTTTAAAAAATCCACTACAGCTTATGGATGATAACCCTTCAATTCAAACAGCTCCAAGCACTGCCCCCAAATGGCCTGAGCAAAACTGCAGTGCAAATGATAATTCACAGATTTGGCTTCCTCCCCACTAGGGGTGCAAGTTGCCAAGTTGGGCCAGGTTAGGTCAGGTTGAGGTCAACCCTAACCCAATCTGAGTTGTTAAATCCAAACCCTAAAACTTTGGGTTGAGTTCAGGTTAGGCTCAGGTTGACCCAACTTCTCTACTTCCTTTTGCCAAATGTACTTATTTCCTAGACTCTAAGGCTGTGTTTGGTTTGAAGGAAAAAGTAGGGAAAGGAAGGGACACCTTTACAAACCTTGTATAAGTTTCCCTGCTTTTTCCTTCAATCCAAACATAGCCTAAGGGTACATGTTAATTCAGTATTAGCATAATAGCATTATTATGTATAAAAGAACATTGTTATGATGTTTTAGAGGAAAAAAAGAATAACTTTAAACTTAATATTTTGACATACGATATACATGCAAACATGTATGGATAGATAAATGCATTTTTACAATAAATACTTGCGGTGAAAATACATAACTATATGGATGCATAACTATATAGATATATACATTTATGGATGCATAGAAGCATATCCATACATGCATGAATAGTGAATACACATATACATAAGTACTTAATGTACAAATACATATTTGTATAATATTTATATATGCAAATGGTTAAGTCAGGTTCGGGTTGGTCAAAGTCTCAACCTTAACCCAACCCAAAGTTAAAATCAGGTTCATATGTTTCTACCCTAACCCTAACCCGTTTTCAGAGCTGGGTTCAGGCTAACCCGGCCCAAGTTGAGGCCTTACTCCCTACACAGCATGCATTAAATGGACACAGACATATCCTTCCTTGATAGATTATCTTTAGTAAGTATTCCGTTCAGGTAGGCGGTCCACACCAAAAAAATAATAATAACAATAAAATGCAACCTTTGATGGGATGTTACTACCCCTGACTATGTTATTTAATAGGGACCTCTGTCCATCTTTTGTTTCCAAATGATCAGTAAAGGATTTTAGCAAAAACTTTCCTGACCTCTCCCATACCCAAACGCTACTCTCTGCCGTGGAAGGATTCACCTGAGTGCTATGAAGTTTTTGTAGCAGTTCCACCATAGATCTAACTTCCCAGTCATTTAAATTCATTCTAAACTGTGGCACCCACACCAAATTTCCCATTCAGCCGCTGAAAGCACTCAGCCACACTTACCTCCTTATTAACTGCCATCTCTCATAATTCTCCATTATAATTTGTTGAACCAAGTCCTAAACCAAACTTCCATCTAGAACCCAATTTTTAGAACTTTCAGGTTTTCTCTTATGAAAAAGTGTGTCCATTATTTGGTGCCCAAGCGGATCAAAACCCATTCAAATTGATTTGCTCCATAGTTTTCACAATTCTAAGATTGCAGACAAAATTTTATAGAAAAATTTCCATCCTAGATCTAAGTAGCACACCTCAGATGGTTCTTACCTCCTACATCTACAATTTTAGTTCTTGAGTAATTTGCAGGGGCTGTTGCATGGTGAATGGTAAACTCTCGGGTTGACAAATATGAGAATGCAGGGTTGGATCTAAGAGTAGCTACTTTGTGTAAAAGAAATGCCATGGTTGGGACCGTATCCAGTTCACCCCTCTCAGAACTCCGAATGGCTGTGACCAACATTGGGCTCCCAATAGGACCTACCTGTCTTTCTACATCAACCAAATCTCTCAAATTCTCCAATACATTTATCTCTCGTTTCCTGTTTATATACCGACAATACTCCGAATGTACCAAGCAATCAAGCATATCAGTCAATTTAATAGCCTTAAACAATTATTTCTTCATCCATGCCATTCTAGAAAATTTGGACCCAAACATCTTAGGTCTATAGAAAGTGAAATAACAGGTAGCCAGTAGCCACATTACTTTCTTACCTTTTTTTTTCCTCTCTTCCTTTTTCCTTCTCAAAGCAAAAAATTCAACAGTCACACACAGGTAAGGCTAACGTCAATTATCGTTGTGTCAAGACATCCCTCATCCCATCCTGTGGAAATCACTCGTAACCTAAATACCTCTGAGATTGAACAATTACCTATGGATTCATGTCTACCAATTCTATGAAACAGTATATCTCTTCAAAGACTCTAAGAGAACCAACTTAAGTAACCCTCACTAAACTAAATCGCAAAGAAGGGGCTCCAATCCTCAGACCAACCAAATCAAAGACACTTACAGCAGCTTGTAAGAAAATAAAGGAGGAAAAAGAAAAGAAAAGTCCACCTGAATCCCAAGGATAACAGCATCTTCAGCGAGAAACAGAGTCATATGACTAGTGAGATTGAAGGGCCCCGTAAGCCATCGGCCCGGCTGCACATTAAGCTGGCCACCGCCTCTGCTTCCGAGCTTCGAAATAGCAGTGACGGCCCTCTCGAACGCCTCAGTATTCACGGTCACGCCATCTCCGACGCCACCAAAATCCGTCAAATTGAAAGCCACGGGGCGCAGCCTCGGGATCGGCCGAGCAGGGTGGGCCCGACCGAAAATCCTGAGCCCATCGACGATGCTCCGCTGCCAGACAAAGATCGAAGCGAAGGCAACGATCCAGAGGACTGTGAAGAGCGTCTTGTGCGAAGATATTAGCGCCGAAATCCACCGTTTGAAGTCGAGCCTTCGATTGTCGAAGTGGAAGTGGAACCGGCCCAAAAAGGTCTCCACCATGATCAGAGCAAGCGCTTCTATGGGGTTCTCGGAAACTGAAATTGGAGGGAGGGGAGAGTCAAGAGGGTGACAGTGTTAGTGATTCTTAGTGCAACGGACAGGTCTCAATGAGGGGAATCAAAGGTATGGCAGTGGGAGAGGAGAGAGCCGAGGATTAGGAATTGGGGATCGAATTAGGGTGGAAGGTGCGTCTGTATGGGGAGAGTTTGGAGATAGAGTACATGGAATGGAAGGGGAGATATAACGAGAGAAAACCAGAACGAATCGCTGGTATGGTTTGAACTGAAAACAGACTGTACTGTGTGTGTGGGAGAGGAATTATATTACGAAACTACTCTTATTATTGCTTAGGAATATAGAAGAATACCACTCCCTCTCGATTCCAGTGGAACTCGAATTCAGATAATTGGCCCTGCGACAATTTGGAAACCGCCCACTGATGAGCTTCTAAAATAATAGATCCAAATTCCAAATATAGATCCTTACTCAATACACCACCTAGACCTACTTACAGTTACAGATTCAGCACTCATCCTTACACAGCAGACATCACAGCTAGATGATAGCTTGTTGTAGTGAAGTGAAACCCATGAATGGGTGACTCCGGGTCTGGTCCAAAAAAAAAACGAAAAAAAGATACATATAATCAGACAAAAGAAAAAACAAAAAAAAGATACATATAATCAGACCAACTGTAATAAGAGGCAGGATTCAGTCAGAGCAAAGTCCATTCGAACAGCTACAGCCTTGCATCGGGAATATCTTCCAAATAAAGCATATTAAACCTTTCTATCTTTTTTACCATACATATATCTTGGGCCTTTTTGTTATGATCAGTTTTACTTGGGGCTTTGTTGCATTAGTGGAATGAAGTTAGATCCTGTTTGATAATTAAGGTAATTAATGTCTGATGAGCCAATGGTTTTAAAGTCAACCGAATGAGTGACCTCGGCCTTCAGCCATTAGGGATCAATCACCATTCTTTCCAATTTGATAATAAAATAATGCCATGCACATCACCATTTTGCTCCACTTTGCCGGTATATTATCACTACTCACTAAGAGCGTGTGTTAACCATTTGATTGGTTTTGTTTTTGAAAAGAATTTACCTTGTATTTGGGGTTGTGTTAAGTCAGTCTTCGGTTCTACATTACTCTGAATTTTCAAAATGTGTCTAATAGGTTATTATTATTATTATTAATTCATTATCACTCAAGACATAACGTGCGCATTAAATAATTTCAAAATGATAAGTTGTGATAAACTTGTGATAGGTTCTAATAGGTTCTACATTACTCTGAATACCCAAATGATGCAAGTTGTGATAAAGTAACTTGTGATAAACTTTACTCCTGCGCTAAAGCTATGACGAACCTCACTCAAGAAGTTATACGATGAAGCTGCGATGCACCTCACTCGAGAAGTTATGTGATGAAGTTGCGATAACTTCATTTGGGACCTGAATCTGGTGAGCCAATTGCTCAACCCAATCAGTATAGACGACTTGTGGGTCGTCTCCTCTATCTCACCATTACGACACCAGAACTCACTTATTCAATTCACATTCTAAGTTAGTTTATGAGTGATCCTAGACAACGACATTTGGATACTGCAATGCACGTCCTCTGATATCTGAAAGCTACACTTGAACAAGGTATACTTCTTCTGGTTGATTGTGATCTCCAATTGCGAGCTTATTGTGACTCGAAGGTTGCCCAATCGGTCAGAAATTCGTCACCGGCTATCTCACAACTCTAGGACAATCTCCTTTGTCATGGAAGAACAAGAAGCAAGCAACAGTGGCCCGCTCTTCTACTGAAGCAGGATACCATGCAATGGCAGCCACTACCAGTGAACTATTATGGCTGAAGCAAATCTTCTCGGATCTTGGTCTTTCTCATCCACAACCGATGCAGTTGTACTATGATAACAAGGCAACACTCCACATCGCTGCTAATCCAGTGTTCCATGAGCATACCAAATACATCGAAATAGATTTCCACTTCATATGATAACACCTTCAGTCCAAAGCTATAACTATTGCTCATCTACCTACATCAGCTCAGCCTGCAGATATTTTCACTAATGCAGTTGGTCGAGATAGACTTGCATCTTTGTTACCCAAGTTGGGCATTTTTAACCCTCATGCTCCAACTTGAAGGGGGGGGGGGGTATTAGAGAGAATACCCAGATGACGCAAGTTGCAATAAAGCAACTTGCGATGAACTTTACTCCTGCGCTAAAGCTACGATGAACCTCACTCAAGAAGTTATGCGATGAAGCTGCTATAGCACTGAAGCTATGATGCACCTCACCTGAGAAGTTATGCAATGAGGCTGCAATAAACCTCACTCTCGAGAATGAGTTTGTTACCATCCATTAATCGGTCACTGATTCAGTTGCGAATATGTTTTGGTGGTTTCCTTTGTAAATACCATGTCACCTCCTTGTAAAAATTGCCTATATTGAAGAAAAACAATATTTCTCTTCGTCAATTCTACATCTCTAAGTTTTACAGACCACTTTACTAATTTCATCTAAGTGTTAAAAGAAGGAAAGGAGGATAAGGGTTATGAAACCAGACACCGATCAATTGTTGAAGTTCTTGCTCCGTAGACATTCAAAAGAAGACCGTAGGAACTCAACATTAATGAAAGCAAAGATTCTCCTTCACAATCGTTGCATCTTAAGTGCTACCATTACAAGTTGCTAAGCTCATGAATTGGTTTATGTGGAAGTGGTAGAAAAAGAAAATTAGATGATACCTAATGGGTATTTTTGTTATTTCACTTATCTGTTAACGAATAGGGACCTATTAGACACAATTTGAAAGTTTAGGGTACTGTAGATATACGTTTTGAAGTTTYAGGGACTGACTTGACACAACCCATAAAATTCAAGATACTGATCATGAATTTTCCCAAATAATTTTAATAAAAACAATACAACTTTAATGATATAATAGTTGTTTTTGTTCTTAAAAACAAAACCAACCATGCTGTCAAACATGCAAGCAATAGTTGCAATTTCCAATAGAGTAGTGAACACTAAGTAGTTGAAAGAAAAAGAAAACCAACTTATTCAATTGTTTGAAAACATGACCTGTTATGCACACGAAGGAAGAGTTATCACATTGGTCTACCAATGGAGCTGAACTGATTCTCAGTTCTGCTTCTAAGTTTTGTTTCCCAAATATAATTAGGTTGGGGCTGGTTTTTTGTTATCGATTAAACAAGGTTTTCGAACCATCATTGGCCTAGATGGTTGGACCATTTAGACCGGAAACCGGTCGTTTGAATGGTTCCATTTTTACCCTGAATCATCGTCTAGTCCAAAACCGTTGAAATTGTTAAAAAAATTATTGACCTAGACAGTCGAACTGTCGACCTGTTCAACTTGGGCAACAGTTAGCGGTTTGACATTTAAATTTATTTTGATTTATTATTTTATCTTAAAACTAAAATAAAACAAAAAAATAAAATGACAAACATGTCCCAACTTCTAAACATTCAACCAAAGTCCGAACAACCACTTGCCAGCGACCAATATTTGTAGCATCAATTGACGAACATGGTGGAAGACTCTGGTTTGGGGTAAAAATCCATACTCCACGGGTCCAACATCTCTTGAAGGGAACGATAACAACACCGACACCTATGCTTTCGAACATCCAACCTTTGGCGACCAAGATTTGCTACGACTATCAGCGACCACTGTGGAAGAATTACAACAACGATTATTAGGTAAAAAAACTTGCATTTTTTTTTCATTTTCTCTCATATGATCATATCCAAAAACCACCACTTATATCAGCCAATAAGTATTGAGCTGTGGAAACTCCATTAGAGTCGAGAGCTACTGCATAATTGCATCCCCCTGTTTTCTACTTTTCTTTGATGCTTAAACTAGTATATTATTGTATTCTTTGAAGCTTAAACTTTGTATTTATATCATACCACATGTTTTGTTCAAAAGGCTAAACTAGTATATTACTGTAGAATCACATCCCATGTTCACTATAACTTGTGTTTGATGGATGGGTATATATTTTATGTTTCATAATGCATATTATTTATTAGTTATTAGTATCTAATGTATTTCTAATTTCTTATGTCACTACATCTTACTTTTTCATTTGTGATAATAACTTGTATGAGACAAATTCAAAAGTTTGACCTAATTGAAGATGATCATATTGATATTCTGGTAGATTGGGTGGTACATGAGGACAAGAATCCTCCACTACTTGACAATGTTGAAAATGATAATATGTTTTGTGGTGATGGTACAACAAATCTAATATTGGAATTTCAAGCAAACAAAAGATTTAGGGATGAAAGTAACTTGGTTAATATCATCTCATATTATTGGTTTTATATTCTAGCCTTGAGTCTTGAACCTTATGACTAATGTGTATAGAATTCTAATTTTGTCTATTTATTTATTTTTAGATGACTATAATTTTTTCAATGAGATGTTGGGTGAAAATTCAGGACATGGCCATCTAGATGCAGATAAAGATGAAACACACCCTAAAGAGGGAGTCATAAAAGGCTTTTTGACCCACTGATGTAACTCACCATGGGCCATTACTTTATGGAAAATTGTTGGCGTAAGGTGAGTCTCTTTGAAAACCATTTTGTCTTATTTTCATATTTTGTATTTATGAATCTCATGCATAGAACATAAAAATAAAAGCTTTGAGTGAAAGTAAAGCTTTTAGCAAAAAGAATAAGAGGGTAGATTCATGAGGATGCTATTTTAATTTTAGGTCATCAAATGAAGGTATACAATACTTCATTTGAAATAATCCAACTTTTGAAAAGAATGGAATATCATTTTGTTTCACTCCATTGAAATGATATGATTAGTGGGTTAAATTCAAAGTATGAAACTAATATGATTAGTGGGATACATGATACTTCATACACTTGGAATTATGAAACATATCTGTATTTTTTTCTTTTCTTTTTTGCAATTTTTGTGGGATACATGTTATAGGTTTACTTTTGCATAAAAGTGAGGCATGAATCATGAAATTCATCATATAACCTTAGAAGGTTAAAAACTCAAAATAATACTTCATACACTAGGAAACATATCTGCATTTTTTTTTTTTTGCAAATTTATGTGTTTTTTCTATATTTTTTTGGATTTTTTATTTTATTATTTTTATATTTAAACATTTTTAGCTTTTCATATGATGCCCTTTTTCCTATATTTTCTGAATTTTATTTAATTTTTATGGTATTTATTATTATATATAAATATTTTTTGTTTTTTAATTTATTTATGATGTCATGGGTCAAATCATTTGACCCAGATGGTTGAACCACCAAACCAAAAATGGTGCCTAAAACGGTTCCATTTCTGGGTTGGTTTCTAAAACCTTGCGATTAAGACCTAAACTGATTATGTAATTAATAATATATAAAAGTCTCAGTTCATTTTGTTATATTTTATGTCTAAATGTTAAATTTTATAGTGTATATGAGATACTTTTAGAGTTAAAACTTAAAAGAACTTGGTTTATCAACATATAAAGTTATTATTTTTTATTAAGATTATATTATTAAAAACGAAGTTCCATGTTATCATATTAAAGATATAAATTGTAATTAGATCAGGCCCGATTGTCCCGATTCATAATTGATTTCGTTCATATTTTGAGTCTTGTGTTCTCATTATAATTGGGTCAGTACTGCAATTTGGATATCCGACTTGAGAAATTTACAAAACATCAAGCCTGAGCCCATTCAAGTTATAACATATCCCTAACTCGAGCCCGCCCATGTTGCAACCCAATTTTACTACATCACATATCTATAGGATGAMCTAACATAGAAACCAAGAACTAATGTACTGTATCAGAGATTTTCTTTCTTTGTACCTCTACCTAAATGTTTATTGAAGCGTTTGAATATTTGTAGTGTAATATTTGAAAATAGAATGTTTTAAAAATTGACCCAAAGGCCGAACTGTTTGTGCCTTCGGGTTGTTGGTCACTGGTTCAATCGGCTAGGTTGAATAGTTCAGACCATGCCACATCAGCACATATATGTGTGTGTGTGTATGTATGTATGTATACACATGTATATATATATATATATATTAACAATAAATAATGTATAAATATGTTTTAGATATATTATATGTATTATTTTATATTTAATTTAATTTTTAATTATTTATTTATAAAAATATTAAAAATTGCAATTTGAAGCCAAAAAAGGTTTTTTTTTTGTGAAAATAGCAGGGAAAAGTGCCTAGGGCGCTTTGGGACGCATAGATCTCAAAAAGTTATCMAAAAAAAAAAAATCAACCCAATCAAACATCGGAATGCAAAGTTATGGCCCCTAAATATTTTACATGCATTGAATGTACAACCCACAACCTAATCACCGGGTTGAATGGATCAAAGGTCAAACTGGCTAGATCAAATAGTTCTTGACTAAATCAACGATTTTTTATCATTTGACAGGTCTTGACTGAACCCTATCCAAAATCCTGACCAGATAACAATCGAACGGTTCCACCGGCCGAATCAACGGTGGGTTGAAAACATTGGTTTTAATATATAAGTTTGATAAATCTAGCAAAATAAGCCAGTGATCACTTAAAGAAGAGGTAGGCAAACAAAGTAGCCCATGTGGGCCGATCAGCGAATAAAATAGCCCATGAGATCACTTATCAGAAAAGGATTCATATGATTGGCTCAATTTAATACTTCGGAAATTATGGATAGAGATATAAAAAAGAATGAGTAATTAAAGAAAGACATTGGAACGGTAGAGTACAATGTACAAGCTCCTGCGGTGGGCGGTGCATTCCAACTTCCAACAATAAGCGAAAATAAAGAGAGACGTTTGAGAAAAAAAAATGTAAGCTAGGTTTTTACTTTTTAGTAAAAATATAGGCATATATCTACGATAAGAACAAATGTGTAGTGTGCTGGAATTTTCATAAATAAAAGTATAAAACACATGAGCCTCAAGAAAATGTTAAGTTATCAATGGTGATGATGAGCCCTGCCCCAGTTGTGCCCCTGGGCCTAATCCTAATGATTGAGTAATGAGATAGATGAGGGCTGAAGGTTATTGATCAGATTTGAGGGTGGGTCGGTGGGCGGGGCCACAGCCACCACACCAAAATTCTACCAACGTTAATCAACCAATATTTTAGTACTTGTTCGCTGACTTAGTCAGAGGCAGGTCCTCCTCATTTCTCTCTTGCCTCAAACCCGTCCTATTCTTAGTTTGTCTTCTACTGGCCACCTCCTTCATCACAGCCCTTCCAAAAACCACACCACGACGGGAATGGAACAAGATAAAGAAAACCAAATACCCACCGGGAAAGAATTTCTGATCTGCATCCCTTGGAACAGCGGCCCGTTCCTTCCCGGGGAGGACGCAAATTTCCGGCCAAGCAATGGCCGCTGTTCGCTTTCTTTGTCAGTCTCTTTTTCTTTTCTTTTCCTTATCTCGTCTAGCATTAGGATCATCGTCGGATGTGGAGGCGCTCCTCAAACTCAAAAAATCGTTCGTCAATACTAAGGCACTCGATTCATGGACAACTGATTCATTTCCTTGCACTGGGAATACCCCGTGGGCTGGTGTAGTTTGCTTTAATGGCTTCGTCACTGGCCTCCGGCTAGCCTCTATGGGTCTCTCAGGAAATATTGATACAGAAGCCTTGAATGAAATCCCGGGCCTACGTACTCTTAATTTTAAGAACAACGCTTTCACGGGCCCGATTCCCGCTTTCAATCGCCTCATTGCTTTGAAGGTCATTTACTTATCTGGGAATCGGTTTTCGGGGGGAATACCCTCCAATTACTTCTTGAATATGGATTCCTTAAAGAAGGTCTGGCTATCTGGAAATGAATTTACAGGGAAAATTCCAGAGTCATTGGCTAAGCTGTCTCATCTCATTGAACTGCATCTCGAGGACAATCATTTCTCAGGGCATATTCCAGATATCGGACAACCATCATTGGTATCCCTTAACATGTCAAACAACAAACTGGAAGGAGAGATTCCAGCAAGCCTATCAAAATTCGGCAGCAGTTGCTTTGCGGGCAATGGCGGGCTTTGCGGGTCACAAGTGGGCAAGAAATGTGGTGTAGATGCAATGGCGGAGGATTCAATCGGAGCAATATCGAACAGATCAAACCCAAATAACGCACCAGAACACAACAATGTGGCAGCTGCGGCGCTGACGTTGGTTATGGTGGTTCTTTTGCTTGGGGTGGGTGCAATTTTCATCCTGAGAAAAAGGGAGGATAAGTTCAACGTTCTGGGGAGGGAGAACCTAGATCACGCAGTAGAAGTGCATGTCCCGTCATCGGTCCATAGCAAAAAGGGCGATTCTGTTCGGAGAGGGGCAGACTCATCAAGCAAAAGAGGGTCACAGAATGGTAAAAGTGCAGCATCAATGGGCGAACTGGTAATAGTGAATGATGAGAAGGGTGTTTTCGGGCTACCGGATTTAATGAAGGCGGCGGCGGAGGTGTTGGGGACGGGCGGATTGGGGTCGGCATACAAGGCAGTAATGAGTAATGGGGTGACGGTGGTGGTGAAGAGGATGAAAGATATGAATAGAGTAGGAAAGGACGGGTTTGACATGGAGATGAGGCGAATTGGGGGACTACGCCACCCCAACGTCTTGACTCCCTTGGCTTACTATTATAGAAAGGAGGAGAAGCTGCTGGTCTACGAATACATCAACAAAGGAAGCTTGTTATATTTATTACATGGTATGGTATATAATATTAATATATGCCTCTTGATCTTCTTTTGCCATCATCATCAAATTAATTAATATTCATTAATTATTCTTCTTAATTCTCTTTTAATTTAGATTATCTTATTCCAATTCATGTTTGTTGTTTGGTTGGGAAATTGATCAGTATCAATAGAGAGAGAGAGAGAGAGTGAAATTAATCTGCAATCTCCATACATAAATACTTTGTTAACCAAATGCACATATGCATTTTTTGTTTTTCGTATGTATATATATCAGGCGATCGTGGACCTTCCCATGCAGAGTTCAACTGGCCTGCCCGTCTAAAGATTGTTCAAGGAATTGCTCGAGGAATGGGTTATCTCCACACAGAACTTGCTTCACTTGACTTGCCACATGGCAACCTCAAGTCTAGTAATATTCTTCTCAACCCTAATGACGGCGAGCCACTACTGTCCGACTATGGGTTTTGCGCCGTGGTGAGTCCCACCCAAGGCGCGCAAGCCATGTTCGCCTACAAAGCCCCCGAGTCCTTACAATATCGCCACGTCTCTCCAAAATGTGACGTATACTGCCTTGGCATCGTCATTCTTGAGATACTAACAGGAAAATTCCCTTGTCAATATCTAAACAATGGAAAGGGTGGGACAGATGTGGTGGAATGGGTGCTATCTGCAATGTCTGAGAAGAGGGAACGTGAGTTGTTCGATCCAGAAATTGCGAGCGCTACAAATTCGCTTGGTGAGATGGAACGGCTCCTGCACATCGGTGCAGCTTGCACGGAGAGCGTTCCTGAACAACGGCCTGATATGAAAGAAGCCATCAGGAGAATAGAGGAGGTGCAGGTTGAGGGATCCAACAATGAAGGTAGATCACTGCAATTAGCTACTACTCCATCATCATTATCAATGAGGAGAGATGGGTATGCCCAGTTGCCATTGTTGTCTCCTTCCGGTGCACCAAACCTCCTGCACCCTGCTGGTGCTGGTGCTGGGCATCAAAATCATACCTTTGCCTTCACCATTTCATAGTACCACTCATTGCTGGAACAATGGCATTTGGCATGCACTATAATTAAGGAATTTCTTTCGTCCTCCACGGAAAACCAGGAAAATAAAAATAATTAGAAATGAAAGTAAAAACAAAACAAAAATTCCTTCAAATCTTTGCCTGATATCAAGTCAAATGAAATGTAAACATGAGGAGGACATGGATTCAAAACCTGCACAGATGATAAACTAGCTAGTAACTGCATGTGAATTGCAAAATAGAAATAGATAGGGATAAGGCGACGTATATATTTGGGAAAACCAAACAATAGGAAGGATGCCCATCCAACCAAAACTGGTTTTATTTGGGCATTTTTTTTCTTCTTATTTGCATGAATCGTATCAGTGGATTAATGGAGAAAACCGGTTCTGAATAAAGGCTATGTTTGTCAAATGTTGAAAGTGGAATTAGATTTATGTTGTTTATTGGTTTAGGCAATGTTTTATTTTATTGGCTTTCCTATAATTTTGCAAGTTTAGATTTTTCTTGTATTTATTTTTGCAATGAAATTTCTTTGTAACTTACATTTATCTACTTCTTTCAAAGGTATAGAATTCAAATTATTATTTCCTTTTGCTCGTATAGTTTTAATAGCAATTTTTTTCCTTCTCGAATGCTTTTTCTCTCTATATATTTTCTTAATTAATTTCATTCATGCTTTAATTAAGTTTTTATTAGCTAGCTATATGTGCCTTAAAGTACTGATGGATCTGTATCTCAGATGAACCACCAGTGTTATTTCCCTTTGCTTAATTTTATTTTTTTAACTACTAGAGAATAATGAATCCTATAGGTCAGGAGTGCTTCCCTTAATTCATGTGTTATATCAAACACATGAATTATATCACTATAGAGCTTCAGTTCACAACTTTTACTGTATTTTCTTATTTTTGTGAAGCCAAACACTGCCTTATATCCCAATTGGTGGAACCGGTTGCAATTAATAGCACATGTCAAATAGGCCAAAGCCCATACTTTTACACAACCCTACCTATGAAGATTATTACTCTAACTTTTATTTGAGAAAGGCAAATTAAAAACTAAGCATAGCATAGTTATGAGTTGTTCTTGGTCTAGAGGATTAAATTAATTGAATCAATTCTTATATATATATATATATATATATATATATATTTCTTTTCTTCTGACATACAGGAGGCGGTCTGCAGTCTCAGTGGATGGTCTAGGCGGTGTACATATGCTTGATGCTTCCACCAACTGGGCATATCTAAGCATACAGAAGGCGAAGCTATACTAACAATCATTTTTGAGCTGGTGCTTCCATAGATGCGACCAAGTAATTAGTTAATTAGATACACATCAATATATAGGTAGGAAAAACGAATGCACACAATTTCTGATGGGTTTCTTACATTACATGACTGTATAGAAAATTCAAAGCTCGCTAGCCACCTCTATCTCAAAGAACTCAAATTCTGATGCTTCCTTTGTTTTCTTCAAAATAGACATAATTTTTTTTTCTTTTCCTTTTTCTTTTCAGGCAGAAATACTTGATATATCATTTAGTTTCCGCTCCTTTCAATGAGACAATGACAGACATACAGGATGCTGAGAACCTGCATTTCTATGGGTTCGAATCCGCACCTCCTCAAAGGGAGGAATTAATTAATGCTAACTTACCATCTAGACTACACAGTCATTGGAAATATTTAATTGTTGTTTATGTAAATGAAAAGCAGAGCAATGAGCAATGGTTGGTCAGGGATGAAAATTTAAGCTTAAATATTTCAGCCTTAAAAGTTTTATGCCCATCTTTATAAAGAAAAGAAATGTAGGCATGCATCATCACTATTGTCTCCAAGAGCAAGAGGGCATCAATCCAACACTTTGCCAACTTCTGTTACCCTGTCTATCCCTGTTCGATACATTGTGAGCATTTTTAAACAGAGTGACAAAATAGAGCACTTGGCGTGGAACTATATCTATTCTAGGATTTAAATGTTGAAAGAACGCATCGTTTCTTGTTTCCCAAAGGAATTAACGTACGCATAACAAAATTTAGTTCTATACTCCAGTCCTGACTATCATGGTTTAAAGTTCAAACTTCCCTGGATTTGTGAGATCAGAGATGATGAATCAATTTTTGGCTAAGTACCTCGTCATTCAGTCTGTTTCCAAGTGGCCGATGACTCAGAGGCCGAAGTGGAGAATTTTGCTAGGTAAGGACCTGGATGCCGAGCTGACCAGGCCAAGCTGGGAATGGACTAGGTGCCGAGCTGACCAGGCCAAGTTGGGGGCAGGCTAGTTGTCGAGCTGACTGGGCCGAGCTGCAGATTAGGTGTCGAGCTGACCAAAGGGCTGAGCTGCATGTTAGGTGCCGAGATGACCAGGCCGAGCTGGGAGTGAACTAGGTGCCGAGCTGGGGGTAGGCTAGGTGCCGAGCTGACCAGACTACCGAGCTAGATTGATTGTTGACCTTCGTAATTCTTTAGAGACCTGCAAGGAATCAATGTCAGAGGACCCAGGGTGGCTAACTCGACGAGGTCACTCTGATGCTTAAGTTAGTATTCTCATAGTAGAGTGCGAGCTAAAAATCATAAAGTATGAGGGGTAGAATATGCTTACTTGCCTCCCCTCCATGCCATTGGGGTTGGTGCCTTTATATAGGCATTGTCTGGCGTGGGCTTCACACACCGTATCCGAGATTTCCGAGAGGTCGCCTAAGGGGTCCGAGATTCCTGGAGGCAACCGCCATGCACGTTGACCACCCTACGAATCGTTCGGTACGTGGGCCAACTTCCAAGGATCGTGGGAGTGTTGGGATATGCATGCCGAATTTGTCGGCAAGCACGTCTCATAGGGTGCCAGGCTGCCAAGTCGGCGCCTGTGCCAGGTCGCTAGTTCGGCGCCTATGCCAGGCCGCCAGCTGTGACACCATCCTCTTGGCTAAGGCAAGTTGTTGCCTAAGTGGTTCCGAATGTCACCTAGTTGTTCTGAGATGCYATGTGTCACAATGTCATTGGAGGGCCAAATCCACCCTCATCATTTGGCCCCCCACTCTCAAGTTGAAAGTAACTCGGCGAAGGGAGTAGATTGCTCCTTTTGGCCTGGAATGACTAATTCGATGAGCTCGTAAGCGTCGATCCAATTTGCTTCTCAGGTCGGAAGAGTCCAAGAGTTTGTAGCCTTGGGCTCTAGGAGCGACTCGTAGTCCACTCTCCATACCCTTGATTTTGCCCATGCTGAAGAGGCAACTGGGTCTTATGTGGTGACGAGATCTTTTATCAGCTCGGTACTTTAGCCCTTGGGCTATGGGAGCGACTCACAATCCACTCTCCTTACCCTTGATTTTGCCCATGCCGAAGAGGCGACTGAGTCTTATGTGGTGCCGAGGTCTTTTATCAGCTTGACACTTTAGAGTTATGGCTGCGCTGCATCAGCCTCGTTAGTGACGTCGGTCACCCACTCCTACAAAAAGCTACTGGGAGCTCAACCTATGGGGGCAACACTAATGACTTTAGGTCACCAGCTCGCGTGGGAGCCCTCGAAGGCTCGACCAGCAAGGGCGTCCATGCAGTCCGTTGGCTGCCAACTCCTGTGGGAGTCACGAAGAACTCATCTTGTAGAGGGCACATTGCAAAGAGGACTGATGAGGCTTTATCCGAGTTGAATAAAGTCGGCAGAGCTATTGGCCATCAGTTTCCTGCTTAGTCTTTGAGTTCATAAAAAATGGAAATTAGAAAGTAAGAGCTTTAGTTTCTAAAAGGTGAGAATTTAGCTTTCTGGAAGAAGAGGACTTAGCCTTTCAAAAGATGAGAACTTAGCTTTTTGTAGCGTTTTCCACAGATGGCGCCAATTGATGAATCAATTTTTGGCTAAGTACCTCGTCATTCGGTCTGCTTCCAAGTGGTCGATGACTCAGAGGCCGAAGTGGAGAATTTTGCTGGGTGAGGACCTGGATGCCGAGTTGACCAGGCCGAGCTGGGAGTGGACTAGGTGCCGAGCTGACCAGGCCGAGCTGGGGCCAGGCTAGGTGCTGAGCTGATTGGGCCGAGCTGCAGATTAGGTGTCGAGCTGACCAGGGCGAGTTGGGAGTGAACTAGGTGCCGAGCTGACCAGACCGCCGAGCTGGATTGATTGTTGAGCTTCATAATTCTTTAGATACCTGCAAGGAATCAATGTCAGAGGACCCGGGGTGGCTAACCCGGCAAGGTCGCTCCGATGCTTAAGTCAATACTCTCATAGTAGAATGCGAGCTAAAAATCATAAAGTATGAGAGGTAGAATATGCTTACTTGCCCCCCCCTCCATGCCATTGGGGTTGGTGCCTTTATATAGGCATTGTCTGGCGTGGGCTTCACGCACCGTATCCAAGATTTTTGAGAGGTCGCCTAAGTGGTCCGAGATTCCTGGAGGCAACCGCCATGCACGTTGACCACCCTCTGGATCGTTCGGTATGTGGGCCAACTTCCAAGGATCGTAGGAGTGTTGCGATATGCATGCTGAATTTGTCGGCGAGCACGTCTCGCAGGTCGCCAGGTCGGCGCCTGTGCCAGGCTGCCAGTTCGGCATCTGTGCCAGGTCGCCAGTTCCTGTTCGGCGCCTGTGCCAGGTCGCCAGATCGACGCTTGTGCCAGGCTGCCAGTTCGGCACCTGTGCTAGGTCGCCAGTTCGGCACCTGTGCCAGGTCGCTAGTTCGGCGCTTGTGCCAGGCCGCCAGCTGGGACACCATCTTCTTGGCTAAGGCAAGTTGTTGTCTAATGGTTCCGGATGTCACCTAATTGTTTCAAGATGCCATGTGTCACAATGTCATTGGAGGGCCAAATCCGCCCTCATCAAGAGCATTTTTGAAAAATCTAAGGCCGTTAGCTCTTAATAGTTGTTAATTTTAAGGACTTAGAAGATCAAAATGTGATGTTTTCATTAACCCAGCCCAGCAACCAAGTGTAAAATTTTTGCAAGGCCTAGCTTGTTAATCCTTTCCTCCCACATGTATGCGGCATCTAGCACTAGCACTAGCTCTAGCAGAACTGTCACATTAAACAGCTTTCATCAAAATTTCCATCCACTTGCGGTTGGGCTTTTTTGAGAAATTTTATACTTTGATCGTCAGCCCATAGGAGATCGAGGCAAGAGGAGGCCCAATGGCCCATGCAGCGTTTGTGAATAAGGAGGAGGAACAAGGGAAAAAAAGGTCCTTTTTTTTTGGCATTCTCTTGTTTATATTAAAATAAACGTGAGCATTCTAGTCCCTTCAACTTCCCCTCCCGCGCCTTAATTAATTACTTGTCCGTCGAGTTACAACTTACAATAAAGCATGATGAATTTCGATCTACAACGAAGCTCGAGCAGTGCAATATAAATATATAATTGCCTGTGACAATGGATCTGGCTCTGTAAAGGTGAGCGAGCGATGATCATCATCTCTTTTTTATTCTAAATTAAGTCGTCAACAATCCAAAATTAATAGCTAGTAGCTAATGAAGGAATATAATTAATTTTAATTCCGGTGTGTATACGTAGGCTGGTTTTGCCGGAGGTGACGGGATCTACTCCTCACAAATGGGCGCCTCACAGGCACCTCCTTCAATCAGGGTGAGACTGGTGGCTAGCTCCTGATCGAGCTGGAAGTAGAAGTACAGTGCGTGTGTGGATCGGTGCCTCCATTTTGGCTTCACTCAGCACTTTTGAGCAGGTGATTTAATTTCTCTCAGTTTCAGGCTGTTTTAGTATTATTAATTTCGTGTTTTAAACTATTAACTGAACCATCATCAACTGTTTTTTGGTGGTGGGGGTTGTTGCAGATGTGGATTGTCAAAGATGAGTACATAGAGTCTGGTCCTTCTATTGTGCATATGAAATGCTTCTAGTATAATTGGCAAAATTATTCTACCATTTACTGCCTGCGCCCTTCGCAAATCACTGAATTTTGAATATTACTGATCAAGTGGGATGAATTACAACCCTTGGATCAGAAACCTCTGGTTGATGTGGGCAAGTGCCAATATGCCATCTGGGTTCAGAGTAGTCAAACGTGATGGTGGATGGTTATGACTTGACCAAATAGACCCCCTTGAATATTGATGAATAATTTACATTGCTTATTGCAATGCATTAGCACAAGTGTAGGGGATCTGGACTGAACATAAATACCCCTAATTGCTAACCATCTCTCTCTCTTCCCTAACCTCAAAATACTTGTACAATCAATACATTTTCATCTATTTTAATTTTAGGGTAAATTGCAGATTAGTACTCTATAATTTAGGGCTAGTCTCAATCGCTAACTAACGTTACGTTATATATAAAAAGACAAAAATGTCTTTTCTTTACAATCTCATATCCAGAGAAGAAGAGAAGACCATTACCAGAGGTAGTAAGCAGAGAATTTTTCCTTTCTCTTTTTCTTGTTTCATCTATTGTTAATGGTCCTTGTGATTAATGAATAATTTTTTTTAATAAGTTTATTTATTTGAGAATGACACGAGCTCAAAAAAACATATTAAAATCCATAGGGGAAACATTTTTTAGGTAATGGCTATAAACAATGATGATTTGGGACTTTCTTCATTGCTACTCTAGTTTAGTCTCAAAGAAGAAGACAATGAATAGTGTTTTCTTCTAAAAAGTAAGTTTAAATTTTAGAAATGTTATAAATCACATGTGACATCACGTGCATCAGATAACTAACAAACTACTAACACCGGACACTAAATTGATAGTTTTCAGGAATTCACGTATTACAGTGGCACATTTTGAAATTTGGATATTAAAATGAGACTATCCCCAAAGTAGAGGGTATTAATCTACAATTTACCTCTATTTTTATTTATCAATTATTCAAAACACACTCATATATCATAAGAACAATAAGCAGTGAAAACATTGAATTGGTTGTCCAATGGTATGTTCAAATCATTAACTGCCCATTAAAATTTAATGCACCGATGGAATCTGTTCCTCACATACAGCACCTCACAACAACCTCAGACACATCTCACCGTGCATTGGAAACATCTTCCGTAAATAATAATACATAAGTACGAAAGATGTTCTCAATGCACATTGGGATGTGCTTGTAAGGTCATTGTGAGGCGCCCTATGTGAGAAGCAGATCCGGTCTCCTAACATTGATATTTATATATATGTCGTCGTGCTCTACAATTTGTGACTTTCAAGTTTCAACAATTCACTCGTCTTGTATGTTAGTAGCACTATACGTAGAACTGTTATTTTGGGGTTCCTTCACCCCGCATATAGGTATAATAGAGTAGTATAAGGATACCTTTTGGTCCAGTTTCTCCTATTTTTTTTTTCATGGAAAAGTACGGGCAGGCCTATTGTAGATTTCTGATTTCCACTGCAAATCTATAAATATTCAAAATGTCAAATACTCCCACTCTACACACCAATGCCCGCCCATGAATTGGCATCAATTCCAAGCTGACACCTACCCAAATGTACTTTGGGCCTAAAAACTATGACCCTGGACTAAACCATCATTCTCCCCTTTTTTCATGCTTGTACGACGATTTAGTGCAATGAATTAGCCTAAGGGCTCTTTTAAAAAAGGGTAAATTACAAAGACCACCCTATACTATGGGGTCTGTGACAAAGACCCCCCTATACTATGACCGTGAGACAAAGACCCCCTTCTGTTAGCTTTCTGTTGAAATACGTCGTTGTAATATTTTTTAATCCCCAAACTACCCTTGTAATAACTATTCAGACAATTGGGAGAAAAACATTGTTCATCTTCCCCAGACATCACTGCTTCTCTCCCTCTCTCTCTCTCCCCCGATCTCTCTTCCCCAACAGGAACAACGTTAACACCACCATCAAAGCCTGAACTTGTAAAGAGATGAATTAAGGAAGAGAAAAGAAACCTAGAAAACAAAGTTTCGCAACCGCATTTGTATTCTTTGGTTCCGCATGTCTTTGAATGCGCCTTCCAATCGGATTGGACGACGTATTCCTTCGAACACTTGTTGCATTTCCATTTTTTCTCTCCATGCTTCCTATAGAAATGTTTCTTTATTCCCGTAAGATCGCCCAAGGCTCTTGACGGATCGTGATGAACACATGAAGGCTCGGGGCAAACCCCTTATTGCAGAGCTCGAACACGAATCTATTTGTTGTCATTAGAGTTTTTGGTGACTGAGTGATCACCTATTCTTCTGGATCTGCAACCCAAATAAAAAATAGAATGAAGGAAAGAAACATGGCAAAGGGATGCAATTTTTTTATATTAATTAGATGTTTATCTTTAATCTTACCTGGGGTTACAGGAAGATTGCACTTTTTCTTTGTTGTCGTTGATGGCAGGGCTGCTTGGTTGCCAGACGAAGACGCACAAGCTTCTGTTGAAGCTATAGAAACAGTAATGGTAGACGAGTTCTCCAACTCCACAGGCATATTTCTCAAAATTCTAGGATTCTTAGGAAAACATACTACGGCAAAATCTGGAGTTCTATGTTTTTTCGTTTTTTTCTTCAAGCGGAAGAATAGAAAAGGAACTTCAATAGGTAACCTAGCCTCCTAGGGTTTCTTTTCAGCTCTTAAGTCTTATCTACCTTTCACAAACTTTGATATATCCACCTACCAGTTCCGATATGTCTCCGACAAGTAATCTAACATAAACTAGAGCTTCAACGACCATTCAAATCATCGTTAAACTCGAAACGCTTACCAGAAGAATACAAGAAACAGCAACAATAGAAGCTAATAAGGTCCCACTTAAACCCAAAATAATGGACATCAAAAACTAGCACCACTTGTCTCCGACCTGAAAACAACCAAATCACCAAACAAAAAGGTAAAATACTTTTAAAACTTTATCAGGTTTCCAACATTTCTCATGCCAGAAATCTTCATATATTTCAATTAGGGAAAATCAATTAAATTGGCATTCGACAGGAATGGATCCATATTTGATCCAATTATAAACGGATCGGATATCCATTTAAATATAATCAATTAATTTGTCCGTTCAGCTCGCTCGGTATAGCATCTGATTGATGGGAATAGGAATTTCCTGTTTCTATGAGAACAGGTGATTAGTCCCCGCGAGCGGCAGCTACCTATGCAGTATGCACAACTGACAACTGAACATACATGTATGTATTCATGAGCGGCAGTAGTCCCCAGGTACGTTCTTTTCTTCTTCACTAACGACACGAGAGAGAGAGAGAGAGAGAGAGAGAGGAGACATGAGTTCGACTAAGAAAGCTTCGGAGATTGCAACAATGTTGACTCTGCAACCTCACCCGGAAGGAGGTTTCTTCTCAGAAACTTTCAGAGATTCTTCGATCATTCTCCCCAAATCTCTACTTCCACCGCAGTGTAAGCACCAAGAAAATCCCACTTTTTTTTTCTTAAACTGATCTGTAAGATAGCTTCCTTTCGGAACATCCACAAAAAGAAAATAATTTTTTTCCTCTTACTGGTGGTGTACATTTCTGGGTCCTTATTAATGGGACACTTGTTTTGTTTCTTGATCTGGGTATATGTAATTTTTCCTTCTACCTTTTGTTTTTCTTTTTGCTGGATTCTGGTATTCAAATTTTAGTGCTGTGAAGTGCAGTAGTGCCTGTCTTCTTGTATGTGAACGATTTGATTATTCATTCTTCTGTGTGTTTGGTGCTTATGTTTGTGATAAATATAGTCTGATTACAGGGAGACCTCTTGAAATAGGGAATTAAGTCGAAGATAATATTGATATGGGTCTTTAAACCATCCAGTGGACATGATGCGTTATCAACCTGTGAAGTGCAAAACGTGATGGTCTTCAATTATATGATCAGTGTAGAAACATTTAATTAATTTGGACCAAAATCATTTTGTTTCTAGTACAAGTTAAACTTGTTCATAAAATTGGATATAGATTCTGGTTATATCTTGAAGTTTCTCTTGACCTTATTGGTACTTGTTCATGAACTTAGGTTTGTTCACTGCTAGCTGTTTGAGTATGTTTTGGCTTACATTCTTCTTAATCTGATGTGTTGGATTTTGGTCTTAGTTATATTGTAGATAAATGGGTATAGGTACTTGTGCTCACATACTAATTTAATTTTTCTGTTATCTGTTTTGATTGGCATTTCATCAAGTTCTCTGATCAGGGCTTACCATCTTACCACACTTTAGTTAACTATCCACAAAATAATTTGGATGTTCATTCTTATGGTTAGCTCATGTAGCTTCTGCAACTCAGCTGTTTTAAACAGATAAAATCTGTTAAAGCTCTTAGGTCTTTAAATGAATAAACCATTGGTTTGGGCTTGGCTAGCAATAGATTATTGATAGCATATTCTTAGATGAATAGCATGTTTAAGAAGTTTAAGGTGTTAAAATTTCATCATTTTTATAGAAATTAGGAGTGATGCTAGATGATATGCCTTTTTCCTATAGCCCTAAGCAGGTGGCAGGGGGTATGCTGGGGCAGCCATGCTTCTCTCCCCTCCCCCTCCCCCCCTCCAATTTTTGAGAACTCCACATGGCTTATGATGTATAAGGTACGTCCCTCTGAGGCTCTGAAGTCAAAATTTTCAGTACACTGGCCCCTTGTCTGATTCTGCCTTGAGCTGTTTATGCCATGTTATGCTTGCATTGTACATGGGGCTACACCCTTTCTTATAGTAATACTTTTTTTAGATGAAAAAAAATATATAGATAGCCATTGATTAATGGCTGGTTTCTATAGTTTAAAATTTTGGTAGATTCTGATGTTGAATTACATACATCCCCCCAGATGAGCTCTGTTTGTATTGCATGAGTTTGTGAGTCTGCCTGTGTATCTAGTGTGCTTATGATATTATTTTATTTTATAGGGAAAATGTGAGATGGCATGATTTATTATTACGGAGATATGTAACATCACATTTGCATCAGATGTGGAAACTTTGGAACTCAGTTTCTATTAGACTAGTTACTATAATTGATCAAATGTGAAGGTTGTAAACCAGCTTGTTTTGGACCTATTATGTTCCCAAGCTTCAACCAATTTAAAGTTTGGACAGTGCTATATTTCCTAGCCTCAAGGTCTTTGCAATAATTTCTCAGGATTGAAGACAAAAAATGTTCCATATTTGGGCCTCCTTTATTATCCTTTACCTTATTTGTGGTTAGAACATTTTGCCATCTGAGTAAAGCTTATGTGCTATGTGCAGATAAAATTGAGCGCCCTATCAACACATGCATTTACTTCTTGCTTCCATCAGGGAGTGTTTCGCATCTCCATCGCATCCCATGTGCAGAAACCTGGCACTTTTACATGGGAGAGCCTCTCACGGTACGTGGATGGGATTTTGTTTTGCTCAACTGAATTAGGCCATTCCCACCCACAATTCAGATGGGTGAATCATTGATCCATAAATTTTTATATGATGGAGTAGATTGGAGTACTTGTTAATGGGATATGGATCATCCTACCTTATTAAGTTCCTTGGTCCCAATAAGATGGCTTGTAGAAAGGTGGCCTACCAATTAGATGGTCTTAGTGAAACTGAACAACCATCCTGGTTCTGAATAGATATGCTTTTTGATAGTTCAGAGAAATCAGTACATGAAGTAGCAATTTTGATTTTCTTATAGAACGTTGCATTATATTTTGTTTTTGGTAGTTAATATTGCCTGGAAAAGTAAATAGATTTAGATTATGATATGTGAAATATATTATCTCTTAGAAACAATATAAATTCTTTTACCATAAAATATCCCTTTCTTCTTCAACTATTCTCTTCAAAAACTTAAATATATTTTAGAATTAGATCAAAACCACAAGTGTTTTTTTTTTTTTTTTATTGGAAGAACCACAAAGGATTCCCTAAATAACAGAAGTTCCCCCTTCCCCCTCCACAATAAAATACAACTTTTCTGTCAGGTATTGGAGMTGAGCGATGATGGGATGATAAAGATGACCAACCTTGGGAATGACCTAGAATCTGGCCAGCGACCACAATACACTGTAGCCCCCAATGTGTGGTTTGGTTCATTCCCAACAATGGACATTATCATTTCTGAAGATGGAAATTCATTTGTGAAGGCTCCAGCCAGGGAGGTTGATAGCCATTACTCTCTTGTTGGGTGCACCTGCGCTCCTGCTTTTCAATTTGAGGACTTTGAGTTAGCAAAACGTTCTGAACTTGTATCGCTCTTTCCTACAAAGGAAAATTGGATCTCTTACCTCACTTTACCTGACTGAAAATTGCACATCTTTAGTACTAATGGGATTTTGTACTTGAGCTGTTCTTTTTCGGGTGATCTGTAGTCTGGATGCTATGCACTTGCTACTGTTAAGAATAAGGAATGACAACACGGAAGATGTATCTTTCCTGGGTTTAATTACTATCAGTCTTGGGTCCCATGTCAGTCTTGTTTGTTCAAACTCAATCCTTTGATCAGATTTCTGCCTCTATGAATTATGTGATTATGTTAATATTTCAGTTAGAATCAAAAGAGTGAATTATCAATCCTCGCATTAGGGCATTACTTAGCACTATCTACTAAAGTATTATTTGTGTGTGTGAGAGAGAGAGAGAGAGTTGTCAGACTGTGATACATGGCTAATTCAACCATTTATCAGATAGAGGATCCCCTTATACCTCTTGTATTTCACTTTGCCGGAGGTTGCATACCCTTAGCATCCATTTGGCATCGTTGCCGTTGCTCTAAAAAATGGTGCAACATCAGCGCCACATAAGAAAAAACAGTGCTCCAGGAAATAGCCATCTGTTTGGAACCGTTTTTTCATAGAAAACGGTGCTTCAAGCCACGCCTTAGAAATTGGGAAGGCATGGCTTAGAGTACTGCCAAATTTGGCGTTTCTTGGAGCTGCAGCTTGTTGCTGTCAATAGGGCAGTAATGTGACACTGGATAATGGGTAGAAGTACAAAAAAATGTTTTTTGGAGCATTGGTACCAAACAGAAAAAGTTGTTGTTCAAGGAAACATCTTACTTGGCGGCAATGATTCCAAACAAAAAATGTATCAGAAAACGATGCTTCCAACCCACACATCAGCAGCATCTGCAGCATTGATGCCAAACATATACTTAACCTACTCTTAAGTCATAACAGGCATTGCCTTTGGGTTATCGTCAAGAATTACAATTATTTGAGACTGAATTAGTTTCAATTACCGCAATGGATCCCAAAATTTATATTTGATATACTGGTAAACCACTTGTCCTCTTTCAATTTAGATCAGGTAAGCACAATGTAAGAATGTTTAATGAGCACTTGAATTTTTTTAATACCTTCAGTCCACCCTTGAAAAAAATTGAAACCCACTTTTGACAGTTGTTGCTGATCTTTGGGCACCACCGAAAAAGGCCTGCAAGTCTGCAACAAAAGCCAGTTCTATCATGAACATGGGAATCATGGATGAATCAATGGCTGAAAAAGTGCTCCATTTTATTTAGTATTATTAAATTTAAAGGGAAAAAACACTAAGGGAAATCAATGAAGCATTATTGATAATTGCACAATACCGCTTTTTTTCAGGGTAATTAGATAATTGTTAGGCAAGAACTTCTGATTAATAGAGAACTTTGGTAAAAGCAAGGAACAAATTTTTCATATTTTCATGTTTTGACTTTTGAAGAATGGGTCGTTGGAGCCATCCATCTCTTTCAGGAAGGTGAAAATCCAATTCCCCTGAGATGAGCGCTAGATGCACGAAAAAGAAAACAAGGAAAAATAAAATCGTAACCTTACCAAGCAAAAAATGACAGACAAATGGACCGAAGCTTGATCACAAAGTAACGACCGCTTAAAAAAAATCACATAGTAACGATACAATGATCACGACGGTACAACTTGAACCCATGTAGTAAACATTAACAAAAAATAAAGATACAAAAGCAGGAAAAAAAATCTCCCCGTCATCTATTCCAATTGAAATCTTCCCTCTATGGCATCTGCTAAGCAGCTAATCTAAAGGTACAACACGAGTCGGAGAGACAACGAAAGTAAGCGTAGTAATGATTGATGTGGGCCGACTCCTATTCTGTTTTGTCTTCCTCCAGATTCTCATCCTGTGTCCCATCACTACTATGCAGAGGTCTGGTTTCCAATGAGCTCTGAACATCCTTAGGTAGAGGAGTGGAAGGTTTTATGAGGGTCAAAGTATCTTCCTTGTCGAACTCCTCACTTGTATCCTCAGAGTACGCATACCTGTCATGCCCATAAGAAACAACATTAAAACTGCCATATGCATTTTCGAGCAGATAATTCTATGCAGTAAACAAGCTATGATGGCCGGATAACTATACATTCCCTATAAGAAAAAACAACACCATCATCTTCATCTTTAGTGTAGTGGTGTCAGACACGAAAGGTAAGATGGACACTTGCACGGAATATACCATAATACCAACACTTATAAGTCGGTACGCTCTAACGACTAATACTACCAAAAAATATGTGCAAGGCACAATGAAAATTAGACAAGATATAAGTATTCATAAATATTGAGCCCCAGAAACTAGGTGTAAACATGATATATCCGTTGACAATCTTGGTTAAGTATATAATCAAAATGGTGAAATAGGATTCCTGTAGCTCATCCCATATAGTATGATGATGACGAGATTTTTTTTTTTTTTTGTATTGAATCATTGTCTTGTGCCCCCATAGGGGCCGTATTTCATTTTTTTCCTTGGCATAGCACAGCACCTTTTCAGCAACAATCTTAATAACTCTTCTCAAAGGTGTGGTTGGAGCCGATAGCGGGGCTCGAAACCACATATCTTCTGGGACTACCCAGTTTACGTATCAACCAAACCACCACTCAGTTGGTATGATGACGATGAGATTTATAAATCAGTTCTCTCTCTCTCTCTCTCTCTCTCTCTCTCTTCGATCTAATTTTTTAGCTTCTGTTCTCTTTTGGTTCCTAGAATACTTTAAAGAAGTCATTTTGAACTAGAAAACAAAATGGTATCAGAGCATGAAGACTATGTTGATAATAATTAGATGTAAAGTTGATTATGGTTAGATCTTAACAGCTAAGTTCTTTTGGTGTTTGTTCTTCCTTTTGCTATCATACAATATTGTTCTTGGTCACTCTTCATTCAGTTTATGTTTGTTTATTTATTTATTTTTTATGTATTCAATCTTTTCCTTGTTAGTCTTGTTAGTTTCATCTCCCTATTTCTAAATCTCTGCCTCCTCTTAGGGTTCCTGTTATCAGATATGGTCTTCACCATAATTAGTAAGTTCCAACTTTATAATGAATAGTAATTACAAGAATTATTTGATTGGTGAAATTACACTATAACAGGAATTACTACTGAACATAACGGAGTGGCAAAACAGGATTCATGTAGCCAACCCCTATAGATGGGGGGCAAGGCTTGGATTATGATGATTATAAATAACAAGTTTGTAAATTGCTACAAATAGTAATTTTGTTTTCTTAAAATAGCAGTTGTTTGACATCTTTAAATTGCCTAATTTTTAAAAGATTTTTGGAGAATATTTTAGAAAATTTTAATGCTTAGGATGGTGCCCTAGAGATTTTGCCTAATAATCCAAGAATAAAAAGAGATCTGCCTATGTTCCGTACTTGACCAATTCGCCAAAAGCCTTAAAGTTGGAATGCAACAAGCCAAGCCATTTAACCTTTAGGATCATAACATACCACCATGCTTCCGCAGCTGATGTCTCAACAGCTTTACTTTGGGCAGCTCTCAATCTAATGGCAAGTAACCCTCTCCATGACAACTCTCACTCTGGTGATAGGCATCCCTTTCCATGAAGGCTCACACTTAGGCAACAGTTAGCTTTTTTCCCTCTAGCACCTTTCACTCTACTCTACGTAACCCTTTTCATGACAGTAGGGTTGTCAATGGGTTGGGGTCTACCCAACAAAATCGACTGACTGAACCAATTATATCAGTTCTGGTTCCATGATTTTGCCCCTATTAATAATTGGGTTGAGACTAGTTCTTTCTGTTCCTAAACAATTCAGACCTGAATCAATTATATAGTTAATAATACATAAAGATTCTCCTTTATTTTGTTATATTTTATATCTAAAAGAGAATTTCATAAACAGTACATAAGATAATTATGGTTAAAAATACATATTTTATAAACATATAAACAGTTACAAAATGAAGTCCTAAATTGTTTTTTTTTTATCAATAGAAAAGTGATTTTATTAAAATTTGGAATGAAGAAATGATAAATACAACTTCTTAGTCCACTTTGCTATTCCAGATTACAAGGATGCCCAAAACAGTTCTTGCCTCATAGCCCCTTGTTTAGCTAGGGTGTCAGCTAAACCATTTGGACTCCTAACCCATTTAAATTCAGCCACCATTTCTTCTGCAATCGTTTCCACTTCCCTCAGAATATGCTTTAGGGACCAAGGAATACACCTATTGGATTTAGCCCAGGATACGACTACTTGTGAATCTCACTCCACCTCAATCATCCTAAATCCCAGCTGCTTAGCTAACCTGAGGCCTTGCAATAGAGCCATCAGTTCAGTTCTACTTTGTTGCCTTCTGGAGGTTTCCAATCTATCCTGATTCTGTCCTATTTTGGTCCAGGCCCTGAAAAATCAGTTATTGTCTATCACCTCTTCCAAACTCCGGCTCTTTTCCAAGGAAATTCTACCATTCCTCTTATCCTCTCTTCCCACACCACCTTCCCCCTTTTCTTTGGCTGCCTCAAGAAGTTAGGATTGAAGAGACCCTTCACATCTTGGGGTGGGACCCTCCTGCAGCCAAAAAGAGAACAAAAAATCCCAAATTCTAAGCACAAAAGGATAGGAGAAAAGTAAATGAGATAAAGTCTTGCCATTACCCCTACAAAGGAAGAACATGCGAGGAGAGAGGCAAACAAAAGGCCTTCTTTTCTACAGCATGTTACAAGTATTTACCTTACCAAGAACAATTCCCAACAGAAAGCTTGAATTTTGAGCGGGATAGGCTTACTCCAACTTTCTTTAACTGGGAAAGTCTACCCCTTGAAAGCTATATGAGGTAAGGGATTTAAAGAAGGATGAGCAAGTAAAGAAGCCATCAGGAGAGGCCAACCAAATTCTAGAATCCTCAAGGGAAGAGCCCAAAGAAGCCTGCTTTAAGGTTTCAAGTAGGAGAATCAAAGACAAACATTCATTTTCCCTTAACCCTCTTCTAAACCCCAAATTCCAGTTTAAACCAGTTGGAGAGGGTGTTCCCAGCCTAGAGATGGTCTCTCCTTTGAAACGAGAAATGGAAAAGAGTTCAGGGAATTGGTCTTTAAGTGGACTTGGCCCCATCCATAAGTCCTAGAAACGTATTTTGTCACACCTTCCCACATCAAACCTGAGAATTAAGAAAGATTCGGTAGACTTCATGACTTGCTTTCCACGGAGATAGAGGAGCGGGAATTGTTATTATCATCGGTAATTATAGGTGCCATGTATAATTGGGTCTAATTGGGTCAGACCCAATTGTCCCAATTAATAAAGTTGAAAAACACAAATTCTTGACAATAAAGCCAATTGAAAACAAGAGATAAGAGAAGAGGTGAGATTGGCGACAATGGAATAGTGCTGGCGGCGCCAACATCTATTGATATTTATAGGGCATCTAAATTAAAAGGGGAGAAAGACCCTTATGCCCTTGATATAAGCAAAGTACAATAACATAAAATAAAAAGAATTTAAACCAACCAAACAGACCCTAACAAGACAGAAAATAATAAAATGAAACATAAAATAAACTATTTTAACACTCCCCCTCAAGTTGGAGCATAGATGTCAATCATGCCCAACATGTCACACAAATCATTACGCCACACATGTTGAAGACCCTTGGTGAAGATGTCTACAAGTTGTTCCTCTAAGCTGACATATGGAGTGCATACTTCTCCACTCACAAGTTTTTCTCTAATAAAATGCTTATCCACTTCAATGTGTTTCGTCCTATCGTGGAGGACTAGATTAGCAGCAATATTGATGGCAGCTTTACTGTCACAATAGAGTGACATGGGGTTGTTGACTGCAAAGCCCAGCTCACCTAATAGGTTTCTTATCCACACGATTTCAGCAACTCCACGAGACATAGCCCTGTATTCTGCTTTAGCACTGGATCTAGCCACCACACTTTGCTTCTTACTCCTCCAGGTGACCAAGTTACCTCCTACAAAGGTACAATACCCACTGGTAGACTTTCGGTCATCGATTGCCCCTACTCAATCAACATCAGTATATACTTCCACCTTTCTTCACAAACAGAGTGTGGTCTGACTGGCATTGTTGGAACCCCATCTTTTGAACTACCAAGTGAAACTTACTAAACCAAGCCCGAGGTGATTGTTTCAACCCATATAAATATTTTTTTAACCTACACACTTTCTGCTCACTGCCTTTGGCACAAAAACCTGGAGGTTGGGTCATGTACACTTCCTCTTCTAAGTCACCATTCAAGAAAGCATTCTTAATGTCCAATTGGTGAAGTTCTCAATCAAGATTTGTTGCCAATGAGAGAAGAATCCTGATAGAGTTCATCTAGGCTACTGGAGCAAATGTCTCTGCATAGTCCACTCCATATACCTGTGTAAAGCCTTTTGCCACCAGTTTGGCCTTGTACCTTTCAATAGTTTCATCAGCCTTGTGTTTCACTATGAACACCCACTAGTTTCTTCCCTTCAAGAAGATCCACCAACTCCCAAGTGCCAATTTTGTACAATGCATCAATTTCTTCCTTCATTGCATCTGTCCATTCAGGTTTGGATAAAGCTTCTGCCACATTCTTAGGAATAGGGATACTATCAACAGACAAGAGAAATGCATGACATGAAGGTGAAATATGGTCATAGAACACAAAGTGAGAGATAGGGTGATTAGTGGTACAGGATCTAACACCCTTTCTCTTGGTAATAGGAACATCAAGATCATCAATGATAGGGGAATCAACATTGAGAGGTTCAGGCATATCAATAGGAACAAGTGTACCTAGCGGATGAGAATGATCTGCCTCCGGAGAATCCGATGATGTTGGTTGCATAGTGTCAAGTTCCACAGTTCTTGAACTCCGCTGGCTTTTGTGGCGGCGAAGAAAGACACGGAATGGAGGATGATCGAGAAGAGGTAATTGAGTCTGAGCCTGGGTGTGTTTCTCCTCAACCCCACTCTCCCCCTGAGGAGAAACCGAGAAGAAAGGTTGATTCTCAAAGAA